GGAGAAAAATATATTAGAATTAACATAAATTAAGTGGTTTTATAATAATTCAAGGCATAATTATATCAACTTTTTACCACTTAACAATCTCTTATGGGGAACATCTTTAGGATTTTTCTTGCCTTCATTGGGTGCTTTATATTGAGGATTTCTACAAAATTTACATTCCTTCAAAGTATTGTCACTTTTGTAATACAACATACATCCATCAATGCAACAATCTATTTTTATCTTTGATAAACCAAGTCCTGCTACAAGTTTCTTTGTTTCCCTAAAGTTGGAGGGAATAACATTCTTTAGGTGGTTTGACTCTTTCATAAATTTCATGATGTCATTAAAACAAGCTTGCAACATATTATGTTTAGATTTTATACTCAACATCGTTATAGCAGTAGACAACTCTGATGTATTTTTACATCCCGACTATAATGGTTGTTGAGCCGAATTTAACATTTTGTAAAATTTGGCAGCTTCCATATTTGGAGGTTCCTCTTCATTTGGTATAAAATGTTTAAGACCAGCAACATCAAACACCATATCTTCATGTTTATTAATACTATTAAAACCCCATGGGTGACTACTACTCAACACTAAATGCATATCAATATTAATATTAGTATGAGCGATTTTCTCTCCATGAGATGCCTAATACCAATACTCATATGTAAATCCTTTTCGGAGAAGGTGAACATTTACTTCATCTGGGATTAAAAACCTCTCCTTTTTACATTCCTTACATGGATACCTTATTTTTCCTTCACTCAAAAAGCTTGGTTGTTGACAAGCAAAAATCATAAACACATAAACGCCACTTAAAAATTCATTTGTATATGCCTCCTACTAGGAAGAAGCCTATTATACATCTATGCTCGACGTTCAGATATGTCCATTATTAGATTGACTCGAAAATGCCTAAAATTATTATTATTATTATTATTATTATTATTATTATTATTATTATATATATATATATATATATATAATATTAATAATACACATATAACTATTTTGAACAAGCAATTAAAATTATACTTACCTGTAAATTTCATATACGAGATTTAAAGGTCTTCACAAACTCTTACCAAAACAACCTAAGAAGACACATCAATGTTACAAATTATAACCATATATTATAAAAAGAGTGATCAAAAAAGGTGATTTTTATAAATAATATAGACTATAATAATAACTGTAATGTGAAGAAAAAACGTCAAATATAATAATGACGAAGGAACTTACATAAATAAGATAAATAAAAAAATATAAAAGACAGAAATAAGTAGAAATATAAGTCAATAAACCACTTAAAAATAGGATGACTAATAAAATACAATCATAAAAAAAATTATTACAAAGGATAAAGAAAAAGAAGAAAAATATTGTTGCTTCTATCTTTAATATCAAGACAATGGCTACTGTAGAGTTTTGTTAAGTGGTAAAAAGTTGATATAATTATGTCTTGAAATGTTATAAAACCACTTAATTTATGTTAATTCTAATATATTTTTCTCCCAATATAGGATGGATTCGAGAATACCTTGATACAAGAGTTAGGAGCATAATTGGAGTAAAATTGAAAGAAAGAAGAGCGCTTAAGCGAATGAATGATGCGAGACCCGACCCAAATTCTCTTATAAAAAGATAAGTTGTGTTTTGAGAAAAGCAAGCAGTCTTAGAGGAGAGGAGGCACGACTACTGTTAGGGTTTTTTCTAATCTTCATCAATTCATCATTTCTTCATCAATTGGAGCATTGTAATGACTAACATGAGTGACTAACTTCATTCTCTTAGGATTCGGTGCACTTCCTTTGAACTCTTTTGTATCATGGTGATATTTTGAGATATTAATCTATGCTTTGATGTTGTTATTTTTATCCTTTATGCTTTGAAATGATTTATTCTTGATTGTTTGAGGTATGATTGGAAAATATATCTTGAACCCTAGATCACGGTAAGAATATTTGTTACGTTAATTATCAAGAATGGAATGAATATATCAATTGCTTAACATCTTAACCCTAATGTTGGAAAATCTATTAATTGTGTGAGGAATCAACATTTATTAGGTTTTCTTATGAATTTCATGTGTGAGGAATCAACATGGATGATTTGAGTAGGTGACATCAACATTGTTAGGTTAATTGACGTTCTTAATTGACATAGTCATTACAAAAGAGGGATAAGGAAGGAAGTCAATCCTAAGTACCTTTAATTGATATTTTCTCAACAATTTACAGTTCTTTGTCATTTAATTTCAATTCAACTCTTATTTGCAAAACTCAATCTGTTTTAATCTATTTAGTAAGCATAATTGGGAATTTCCATTGAAACCATTCCTCGTGGGATTGACTTTTATTTAATCGAAATACTATACTGCGATTGATAATTTGGTACGCTTTCCAATAATTCAACAAGTTTAATTTCAAGATGAAATGAATATCATTGCTTGAGTTAACAAGAAATTTCATATATCAAGACATTGGCTACACCAGGGATGGGATGACCTCATATCTTCATCTTCTAGCTCAAGCAAAATTTCTATTATTCAATTTACTTCAAGTTAAGCTTAGAATTTAGTGCCTACATTTGTTCTTTTCTTTGCATCATGCTTAATTAAAGAATAAATGTGAATGCAAAGGGTTGGACCCTGCTAGAAATATTCAATTACATTCAATATTCGTAACCAAAAGAACTCCATCATTGTTTGGCCCAAAAAAATATTGACACAAACCAAGTGCTACCAAAAACACCACGGATACTATCCTAGAAAACTTCAAGGTGAGACGAGAACTATTTAGAGTACCATGTACAGGCCCAACATATTTAATGGCCACAAACTAAGTTCTACCAAAACATGTGACAGATATTCCTCACGACCTTCTCTGCCTACACTTCAATAATATTATCACACACCTGCTTTTATTACAGAAAGATTAATCTGAAATGTAGATTCTTCATTCTGAATTTTCTAAACTAGATTTAAAGAGGATGTCTTCTTGCATTACAAAGGGTATAGGTTAAGAGTATTGGAGGCAGGAAGCAGCAGAAGCGAAAATTATGTAGAGTTTCGTTAACAAACCAAAATAACAAACATGCTAAAACAAATATCCACAAAACGTGCATATGTAGGAGATATTGATTACATTACTTCAATGTACTATTCTAAAGCACACCAGAATAACATCCTCATTAACATAGATAGAGATATACATAAATTTCCTGCAGAATATTACATCCTCTCCTATATGCAAAGAAGATCAATGAAAAAGACTCATATATGAGTGTTCAAAAGGTTGATATAACTGAACTCAACTTTCTTTTTATTTTCTCTGTTAATTCTTGAACCATGCATATTGTTAAGTGGTAAAAGTTGATATAATTATATTTTTAATTGCTATGAAATCACTTAACGTATGTCAATTCTAATATATTTTTCTCCCAATGTAGGATGAATTTGAGAATACCTTGATATAAGAATAAGAAGCATAATTATCAACATAATTGAAGCAAAAACTGAAAAGAGGAAAAATATTTTTAACATGGAAGTCGCGCGAATGAGATAGACACTCGCTTGAGCGAAAATTAGTTAAACTTCTCTGGAACTTACTCGCTCAAGCGAACACTTTTTCACTTGACTGAAAATACTGAACTTTCACTTGAACAAACGTTTTCGCTTGAGCGAAAAACGTGAGACCTAGCCCAAATTTTCCTATAAAAATATAAGATGCATTTTGAGATGCAATTTGAGGTTTTGGGAGAAGAGGTGCGAATGTTGTTCTGTTATTCAATTATTCTTCAATTCTTCCTCATTTTAGAGCATTGTAATGACCATCATGAGTGGTTAACTTTATTCTCTTGGGATTATGTGCACTTCTTTTGAACTCTTTTGTGTCATGGTGATATTTTGAGATATTAATCTATGTTTTGGTGTTGTTATTCTTATCTTTTGTGCCTTGGAATGATTTATTCTTGATGTTTGGGATATGATTAAAAAATATATCTTGAACCCTAGATCATGGTAAGAATATTTGTTACGTTAATTGCCAGGAATGAAATGAATGTATCAATTGCTTAACACCCTAAACCTAATGCTGAAAAATCTCATAATTGTGTGTGAAATCAACATTTATTAGATTTTCTTATGAATTTCATGTGTGAGGAATCAACATGGATGATTTGAGTAGGTGACATCAACATTGTTAGGTTAATTGATGATTTTAATTGGACATAGTCATTGCAAAAGAGGGAAAAGGAAGGAATTCAATCCTAAGTACCTTTAATTTATCTTTTCTAAACAATTTACAGTTCTTTGTCATTTAATTTCATTTCAACTCTTTATGCAAAACTCATTTTTTTTTAATCCACTTAGTAAGCATATAATTGGAAATTTCCATTGAAACCGTTCCTCGTAGAATCGACTTTTATTTAATCGAAATACTATACTGCGATTGATAATTTTGGTATGCTTACCAATGATTCAACACATGTGTTTCTTTCTTCTGGTTTAAGCTTCATGTTTCGTGTTTTTCTAAGTATTTCACCAATGTTACTTTATAAGGGTTCAGTTATTGACCTTAAGCTAAAGCTGGATCAAAATATCAAGAGTCAAGGGTTCACAAACTTTATCACAGAAAATAACAAAAACAAAACCAGCATTTGGTTCACGCATGTAGCTAGAATATAAAAAGAAACCATGTGTTAGTGTGTTAACATGTGTTTTGAATTTTGTGAATGAGTTAGTCCTCGAGAAAGACATAATCATCATGTGTTGATTTTGAAAAAAATTTGTTGAAACATCATGGTACTACTACTGCAACCACAACAACATATAAATTATGGTTAGTTATCTTAATCAGGTCTTTTAAACCAAACTAAACAAAATGGAAGACACTAGTGTTGATCTTGATTAAACTAATGAAGATTGAAGTAAAATTGTAGGGATTATTATTTGTGTTGTAAAGTGTAAAAAGTATATGAAAGAGGTAGACACAACTTACCTCATGAGTCTTAAAAAGGTTGATGCAGAAGGCAGAGAAAGCAAGGCAGGGATGAGAAGTAGTGAGCAGCGCAACCCAAAATCAAAACAGCAATTCAACAAACAGTTCAACCACCACCTACATTATTTCCAAAACATTAGAAACATCATATGAAATGAAAACCCTAGGTTGCAATGTTAATCAAATTACGTTAAATGGAGGCTCTGAAAATTCATTCCCCTAATCTTCAACAGACCCCTATCTGTAACAGAAATCAAACCCAATTTCATTTTCACTAGCCCTAATATTCAAACTAGTAATAAAAAGTAAAACAATAACTAAAATCAGTTATAGAATACACTGGATAGTTGAATAAGTTGTGTGAAATAGAACCAAAATACCAAAGACTCCAGCAGTTAAGGTTAGACCTATTTATGTGATATTTTTTGTCTTCCATTGCGATTCAAGTCACTGCGTCGACAACGCGGAGGAATGAAGAAGAAACAATAGTAGTTAAAAGGAGAAGAATTGTAATATGGTCGAAGAAGAAGAAATGAAGAAGAAACTAGATACTATTAATGGAAGTAGAAAGGCAGAGACATCCACGAGCGAGAGACGTCGACGAACAAATTTCAGCTTTTGTTTTTTTTTTTATATTTTAATTATTTTTAAAGTAACCAATTATAAAATATTTTATTATTTTTCTATAAAAATAATTAAAATCTTTTTAAAAAATATTATTTTTAAATTTTGCTGCCATTTTTTAAAATATTATTAAATCACTTTTTACAAATTTTATTTATAAAAAAATATAGAAAATAATTTTCATTCCTGCCAAATTTTATACGAATATATATTTGAAAAATAAAATAAAATAATAATTATATAATTGAAGAAATTTTTGCAGAAATTTCTTACATATTTTCTAAAAAAAATATTTTGCAAATAAATTTGTAATAATTTTTTGTGAAATATTTTTCTTAGGAAAACTTGTAACTATTTTTTACTAAAAAAAATTTCAAAAAATAAATTCACATGAATTTGATGATTTTTTAGTAGTGATACTTGTATAGCACATGATATGCCAAAAAAAAAAAAAATCTTACCAAGTCACACAATAATAACAATCGGACATTAGTTCAAAATAATGACAATTAAATTGTAGTACCATCATAGAATATAATTGACCACAGTTTATTAAAAAAGTACAATTTTAAAAAAATAGTTTTCTTAAAAAATGATTTTTTAAAACAAACCAGTTCAATATATATCATTCCCTATTACACTATTTATCATATTATCAAAATGGAGACTAAGTGAAATATCTCATTTAAAAAAAAGGAATTATGAATAAGGGAATATTCTATCATTTATGTTAATTATTATTTAAAAGAAAACTATTCAATTGAATGTTAAAGTAGGGTTTACTAAAATTCAGATGAAGAATGCAATGAACTAAGAAAATAGGAGTGAAAAAGTTGGTGATTTCCTTGGAAAAATAGAAGATGGTGCGCCAAGTGGAATAACACCATAGAAAAGAAGTTTGTATGCGTTCTCAGACTCGTGTAGTTCGTCAATTGAAACATCATATATCTTACAAACTTTATATCCAATTTAAACCACTGCCAAAAGATGGAGCAGAACCAAAATTTGAAACCAACCCTTTTTCTTTCTGCAATCCAATAATTTCAACTTTCACTCTTTTTCAATATAGAAAGGTTATTTAGAATGTATAACCTTTGTTATGAATTATTAATCCACAATTCACAAGGAAGGGCCCATTTTCATTAAAAAATAGTTAATCCAGAATTTAAGATTTTAGATTCAATATTACCTTATTAAGAATTTTAAAGTCACGTAAGTTATTAAGATTATTACATTCTAGAATTGACTTTAATATTAGAAAATTCACATAAAATTATTATATAAAAAATATAATATTATTTTTAAAAAATATTAAGATATTAACTTAGTCTTTTTTATTTATAATAAATTATTTAATTATCTTATTTTTATTTCATTCATATTTAAATTTTTAATAAATTTTTTTAAGTATGATTTTTTAAAATTGATAATTTTTTTTAAATAAAAATATTTTTTAATCGTAAATATCCACTAATGATTTTACTAATATTATTATTTAATATAATAAAATCTTTGTCACACTTTAAATATAAAGATTCACTATTAACTATAATGACCAAATAAATCATTAACCCTAATATTACGATCGGAGTCTCAAGAGTTAAATTTTGTTATAAGGTTAAGATTATTGAATTGCAAAAACCGTCTATAATTATAATTGTAAGTTGAGTTATCCAAAGTTCACAAGCTTATATTAATGATTTTTTCCTTAAATTGAGGATGATGATTTTACTATCATTTATTATTTATACACAACTGTGTGAAGCTCGGTTAAGAACGTTAAATTAATTTTTTATTTTGTTAGTAATTAATGATGAAGTTATGAATTTTTTTTAGTAAATTAATTCCAATTATATTTGAAATTTTGAAAAATTATATAATGTTTTTCTTCTTTTATTTTCTTAATTAAAAGCACTGCATAATGTACCCTTATTAACAACATTATTTTAAATATTAAAAAAAATGTGTCTGTATTTTATGCAGCTTCAGAAATAATTAATGTAATTTACTCATGTTTTTATTTAGTAAGGTTGTGAAAATATAATGGTTAAGATTATATGCATTCACAAACCACATTATCTTTGTAAATTATCATATAATATTAAATTGGTAGAAGTAAAAAATATTTTTTCTTAACAACAAAATAGTTAAGATATGAATGAGTTAAATAATTTAAACTCGAACTTTTTTTTAAACAAGTTTAAACTCTTAGTTACTTTTTTTTAAAATAAATGAGTAAAATTTGAATAAAAAACTTTTTCACAAACTTATAAATCTAAACTTTAAATAGTTAAACTCATTTACAATCTTATTGATGAGAGAATATTTTTCTCCAAATGCCAAGATATTCCCTTTCCATGCACTTTCATATTATGTCTTTAAAGAATAATATTTTTTAGATATGTGAATCATAATTACAAAATTCTCTCATTAACTTTGCGTATCGTGCACCAAAAGTCTCGTAGTAATAATAATAATAATATAAGATAATGACAAATTATTAATACCTTGAACCGCATACATGGAAACTATGACTCCAAGAGTAAAAATAATTCTTTGGAGTCATTATCACCTATCACATTTATGCTTATCTTTTCTTCTGTTTCTTTTCTGCTTTAGTTTCTACTAACGTAAGCATGGTTTTCCCAAAGGAATGCACCCATTTCTTTCCCACAATCCACCCACATTCGTGTGCTAGATCTGCATGACAACTGTGTGTACTAATTACTAAATACTAATACTAGCATCGTAGACAATGAACACGTTCATGCAATTTTGAGAAAATAATAGTACTTAAAGAAGTTATAGTTGCAAGAACAATCACACTTAGACAGACACAGAAGTTATCTCATTGTGGTATTTTGTCATTTCGACAATGCTTAATTCTTATATAGAGGGACATGAATTTAAGGCACTGTAAAAATTGCAAGATAATATACATGGAGCAGGAGATGGAAAATATTGAATCTCAAACTTCTTACAGAGCAGCAGTGCAAGAGGAAGCACCTGGCTTGTTTGGCAAGAGAAATTCTTCAGTAACTCTGAAGGTTTTGTCAATTTTGAAGGGTTTACCTCAATGCATGGATTAGCATAAAAAATTTCTCTGTTTCTCATCATGATTAAAATCTAGCCACGTGTGTATTTTTTTCAAGTAAACTATTTCCGAATATTAGTTGCTAGTTCATAATCGTGTGGCTTCTCTTAGACTTGTGTAAGCCCAAATAATGATACAAAATTATGATGTTTTTGCTCTCATTCCTAGACCCTCCTTTGTTTGTCCTTAATCTATGACTTTATTAATATGGATATATGCTGAAATTTGTTATTACCTATTGCATGCAGTTCCATGATGTGATCTATAAAATTAAGATTAGAAAGTGGGGATCTCTGAAGAACACTACGGTAGAAGATAAAGTAATACTGAATGGAGTGACAGGCATGGTTCAACCTGGTGAAATTCTTGCCATGTTAGGTCCTTCTGGGAGTGGCAAAACAACTTTGCTAGCAGCATTGGGAGGCAAGCTTGGAGGCAAACTCAATGGAAGCATAACATACAATGGCAAAGCCTTCTCAAATGCAATGAAGAGAAACACAGGTTTTGTGATACAAGATGATATTTTCTATCCCCACTTGACTGTGACTGAAACTCTAGTGTTCACGGCCCTTCTCAGATTGCCAAAATGTTTCTCCATAAAGGAGAAAATTGTTCATGCAAAAGCTGTGATGGCTCAACTTGGTTTAACCAAGTGCAAGGACAGCATCATTGGAGGCCCATTGTTGAGAGGGGTTTCTGGGGGGGAAAGAAAAAGGGTTAGCATTGGACAAGAATTGCTCATAAACCCAAGCTTGTTGTTCCTGGATGAGCCAACCTCTGGCCTAGACTCAACAACAGCTCAAAGAATTGTCTCAACTTTGTGGGAGCTAGCAAATGGAGGCAGAACTGTTGTGATGACCATACATCAACCTTCAAGTAGGATTTACTACATGTTTCACAGAGTGTTACTGCTTTCAGAAGGGAACCTGCTATATTATGGAAAAGGATCTGAAGCTATAGAATATTTTACTAATATTGGATGTGCCCCTACCATGGCCATGAACCCCTCAGATTTTCTTTTGGATCTTGCTAATGGTATGCTGTTTTACAGAGTTTGAGGTTTCCTTTCCTATTTATGAACCTTTATACTCCATTCTACTGCATAACAAGATTTCAAAATCTCATTTTTCTGTTAGTACCTACAAATATTTGGATATAAATTCAATGATAGTAACATATAACAGTTGAACAAATAAATTAATGTATGTGATTTTAATCGTTAGTCGCTTCAATGCTCGATGTTTTACAATCCTTAACTAACGTAAGTGAATGAATTTGACATTAAAGCTTTGTCTCGGTAATTTTTTCTTAAAGGATTAAGGGGAGAAATAAAATAAATTGAGCTTTTCCATGAAGTTAAGCTTCATTTAAACTTTCAAACTTTTGGGGAAGTTGAAAGAAAGATGTGCTAATAAGTTGATTTTAATTTATTGTCAAAATTTAATTTATTTACCTTTTTATTTTCTTCTTTAATCAATATTTACGGAAGATTTATCCAATCTAACTTCAATCGAAATGTTAAAAAGAAACTTAGAGGATGAAACTAGAACTGAGAAATTAACCATTTATAGTTAATGAGTACTTAAGATACTCATGCCGCAAGTCTGGTAAAGAAACATATGTATGAAAAAGAGTTATCTAAGCTTTTGTCCTCTGATTTATGTTTATTTAAAATAAAATACATGGTTTTAATTTCTTATTTTGGCCACATGGGAAAAAAAATCGCAGGTGTCTACACTGATCAATCGAATGAGGACCGTGCCTTGAATAAAAATAAATTGATTTCTGCATATAGGAACTACTATGATGCCAAATGGAAGCCAGAAATTCAACAAATTCCTGACTATGATAAAAGTCAGGGTAGAATTGAAGACATTGGCTTTGGGGAATGGCCTACCAGTTGGTCACAGCAATTTCTTGTACTGCTAAAAAGAGATGTCAAAGAGAGAAAATATGCATCATTCTCTGGCCTCAGGGTTTGTCAGGTCCTTGTGGTTGCTCTTATTACAGGATTAGTATGGTATAAGTCTGATATTTCACACTTGCAGGATCAGGTAATATCTTTCAATAGGTAAATAAGATGTCATGTCTAGCTCAATTTTGTCTAATATTGGACTCACCTAAAGTAAATATATATAAAATATTTGTTTCTCTGATTAGTTGTAATTATAATCTGAATTATTGCTTGGTTTTGACAGAAACATATGTTAGTAAAAATATGGGTAATCAGAGAACTGAAGAAGCACATGACCAAGCTTATAGACTAATTTGTAAGCTTATAAAAATAATTCAATTGAAAAGATGGGTTGATATAAGGATCTGAACAAGTTCTCATCTTTTTATAAATGTGATTTGATTCTACTGAATTCACTAAGAAAATAATAATGCAAATGCTATGTAATTGCAGATTGGGATTCTATTCTTCCTTACAAGCTTCTGGGGTAGCATGCCTCTCTACCAAGCAATATTCACTTTCCCCCAAGAGCTAATGATGCTGGAGAAGGAACGATCCTCTGGAATGTACAAACTATCTTCATACTTCATGTCAAGGATGGTTGGTGACCTTCCGATGGAGCTTGTGCTTCCCACCATATTCGTCACCATAGTCTATTGGATGACAGGGTTGAAAAGCAATGTGGTACACTTCTTGTACACCCTTCTCACTATCTTACTCGATGTGTTAGTTTCACAAGGGCTAGGCCTTGCCATTGGAGCTATTGTAATGGACCAGAAATCCGCAACCACAGTGGCCGCAGTCATTGTGCTAACTTCTGTTCTAGTTAGTGGATACTATATTCAACATGTGCCAAAATTTGTAGCATGGTTCAAGTATTTCTCCATCAACTACTATATATACCATCTCTTGATGGGGTCTCACTATGAGTCAAGTGACACATACCCTTGTTCTGATGGACAGTGTTTGGTTGCAGAATATCCTTTGATTGAGCAAATGGGGCTACATTTGAAAGGGAAAGTCATGTCTGCATTGGCTCTATTCATAATGCTGATAGGCTACAGACTTGTGGCTTATTTTGCTCTGATGAGAATTGGGATGACAAAGAAATTGGGGTAGGAGATTTCTGGTAGTTCTAATCTAGTAGTACTTGACCTTTTAAAACTTGTTGGCTTAATAATGACGGTGATTGTGAAAAAAACTTGTGCATATATTATCACTATACCTCTATCTCCACCATATTATATTTAATTTTGTGTTGCAGTTCCATTAACTTTCTTAACCAAGGTGTGTTGATGATCCGTAGAAAAAGTCCTATGTTTTTCTTACGGGCTTAACAGTAGATTTCGATCTGTATATAGGCCCAGAAATATGGCTTCAACCCAAATTAAGATTAAAATCATTTTATAAATAAACTAGATGATGTCCAAATCAAAACAATTTTATAAGAGTATATTATGTTCCTGTGATTGTATGAGAAGAAAAGCATGATGATTGAAAAAGTTAGCAGTACGGAGTGATTTGATGCCCGGGACAGTTTGGTAAACCGAAAACAATGACAAATGTAAGCAATAATGTTATTGATAGAGCAGTCAATTATTGAGGCCCTGTGTTCTTCTTCAAAACTGCTACTCAGAAGAAATCGGAGTTGAGTCAAAACACTACACACGGGTGGAAAACACTAATCTCATCAACTTGTCTAGGTTTTTGCTGAAAACTTGGACATATATACATCCACATTTAACCCGTTGCATTGCACCCTAATTTCTTACATTTGACTTTTGCATTTAATTTAACTTCTGGATTACATGCAAAAGTCTCAAATAGAAATAGCATGTGTCTCCATGTCAATGTTATTTGTGTTGCTCAAAATTCAGAATTGGTTTTACTTTGTACCCTGCTCAATGTCCTAAACCTTCGATTTTTATATAATAATAGTAATATGTTTGTAATTTAGGAGGGGAGACAATACTCTATCGTTTAAGATAAAAAATAAATAAATTTAGTTTTAGGAGAATGAGAATTCAAGTTCTTAATCTAAAACTTTCTATATATACCAGTGTATAAGTATATAGTTTATTTTATTAAAATTATTACTAAATATTTCAACTCGCTGAATGTTGTTCTGTACAAATACACTACTTAATAGAAGGAATATTTCTCTATCTTTATATTATTTGAAAAATAAATTATTTTAAAGATCAAGTCTTATATCCGTTGTCACTATTATAATAATAATAATAATAATAATAATATAATTTTTATTTTTCTCTTTTAAAGCGTTTAACAAAAAGTTAATCAAGTGAGACAGGTAGCAAAATAAATTAAAGATATATTTAGACGAGCTCTGTAGAAATTTCTATAAGAGAAAGAAAAATTAATGAACTTCTCCAAAAAAAAATTATATATTTTTTTTCTAAATTGCTATTTATTAATTTATTTTTGCATAAATTAATTTTAATGTATAAAAAAATCATTCTACTTTTTATTTGTGTTTGTTCTCTCCTAAATCTCTCTATGAAAATATTTGGTCAAAGTTTGAATATTTATATAAGATATTTTTTAGATATAGACACTTTCAAGTAACCTTAACCGAGAAGCATTATCCAAAACCAAAAGTCACGTTAACAACAACAAAGACATACCCGAATTTAACGCAAATTATTTTTCAGACGTGAACATTATAGATGTCATTTGTTACCATGAAACGGGAGCAATTACTTGTGTATTTCCGGTTTATATTTTCTTTTTTTACTTTTTAATTACTAACTAATCATTTTATTTTTAGTTTTTTCCTATTTTCAAATATTTATAAAAATATAAATATAAAATAATATTTTCCGCATAGATTTTAAAATTAGCAAATAATAAAAAGTATCAGTTTTATAATTAAATAGAAAATAAAAACTTAAAAATTGGGATATTAGACTTATCATCTTAAAAAGTTTATTATATAGAAATCGAAAAATAAAAATGAGACAAAACCTCCAAAAATTAGATAATGAGAAGAAAAGAACTTATATTTTATTATTATTATTATTTTCTTCTTGTTGACATGTTGATTTACAATTTACGCTTACAAACAAATAGTCGCGGAATTTGTTGTCTAATTTTTATAATTTTATTTATATATTTACAGTTTTAATCTTAAAATTTAATGATAGCTAAATATATTTATATTTACAATTTTGATTTTATTTTTTTATAAATATTAAAACAAATCATTAAATATAATAAATAAATATTTTTTATTATTAATTAATAATATGTTAGTTCGTTTCTTCAAAATTATTTGTCACAAATGTCACATTAATAAATCGAAGATCCTTAAAGAAATTTTTGGGTTGCTCTTTTAGTGTTTTTTATTTATTATAATTTTAATATTCTGCATATTTTCTAATATTAAAAATAAATTATAAGAAAAAAATCTTAATAAAAAATTTAAAATGAAAATAATGATATATTTTATTTCAACATTCTATTTTAATATATATATATATATATATGTTGGGCATGATTGAAATATCAGAAGTAAACTAAAGCTTCTAAATCTTTAGTTTAAGGGAGAGATTGTTAGTAGATTTATCTTTTATTTGCAGATTTATGTTGCTGGATTATTTAATTCTGTGTTTAAATAATTAAATGGTCTTATGCGGACCTATTCTTTAGGGATTGAGGGAGCTAAATTGTAGCTTCCCTATTTTTAGGATAACAGCCCATGAGCTGCGGCAGAGTGGGAAAACAGTTTTCTCGTTTGCAAAGTCTATTTAATAATGTAATTCTCTTTTGAAAGAATCAACACAGTTTTTGAGATTACAAAATACAGAAGCATCTTTTACCTATTCTGTGTTCACAATTTGGTATCAGAGCTCCTACACAGGGGCCTGAACCAAAAAGCTTACTCGTGAGTAAGAGAGAGAGAAACCAGTGAGCTTTGCTTTCTGAACTAGGTTGGGAAGAGTGATACACTAGTGAGGTTTGGGAAAACAGTGAGTGTTATTAGAAATGGCAGACACAAGCAAGTATGTTCAACCTGCCATTCCCAAATTTGATGGTCACTATGACCATTGGGCCAAATTAATGGAGAATTTCTTGCGTTCCAAGGAGTATTGGAACTTGGTGGAGCACGACATCGATATTGTCCGAGACAAAGCAACTGCATCAGAAGCAGAGCTCAAACAATTGGAGGAACAACAGCTGAAAGATTTGAAAATCAAGAATTATCTCTATCAAGCGATAGATAGAGAGATTTTGGACACAATACTAAACGATGATACGTCCAAGAACATATGGGAGTCTATGAAGCAAAAATTTCAAGGCTCCACAAGGGTGAAACGTGCGCAATTGCGAGGCCTTACGAAAGGAATTCGAGACAACTGTAAATGAAGGAAGGAGAATCGGTAAACTCATATTTTGGCCGCACTCTAAAGATAGCCAAAAGTATGAAAGCGAGTGGGAGAAAGTATGGAAGAAAGTGTCATCACTCGCAAAAATCTTGCGGTCTATGACTATGAAATTCAACTATGTGGTTTGCTCAATTGAGGAATCCAACAACATGAACACCATGACTATAGATGAATTACAAAGTAGCTTGTTGGTGCATGAGCAGCGAATGACATGTTCAGTGGAAGAAGAGCAAGTTATGCAAACAGTATTTGATGAGAAGAATGGAAGAGGAAGAGGAAGAGGGAGAACAAGAGGAGCTTTTCGAGGCAGAGGAAGGGGACGACAAACATTCAACAAGAATGAAGTTGAGTGTTTCAAATGCCATAAACTTGGACATTTTCAATATGAATGCCCTATGTGGGAGAAGAAAGTAAACTATGCAGAAATGGAGGAAGAACACGAGGAGGAGATATTACTAATGGCTCTTGCAGAAAACAAAGAAGGAAAGAAGAATGAGTGGTTCTTAGACTCAGGATGCAGCAACCACATGAGTGGTAACAAGGGATGGTTTTCAGAATTAGATGAGAATTTTAGAGGCAAAGTAAAGCTGGGAAATGATACTCATATAGCTGTAATGGGGAAAGGAAACATCCGGATGAAGGTGAATGGATTGACACATATTATCACACATGTGTACTATGTTCCTGAACTGAAAAATAATCTATTGAGCATAGGACGAGCTTCGGGAAAAAGGATTGAGTATTAAAATTCAGAATAATACGTGCACTATAATGCACCCCGAGAAAGGAGTAATCTGTCAAGTTCAAATGAATGCTAGCAGGATGTTTGTGCTTGACAGCAACCATGAAACCGAGCAACATGTCTTCGAGATGGATGCGAGAAAACAACTCTCAGCTACGGCATGACAGGTTCGGACACCTAAGCTATGATGGCTTAAACACCCTTGCCTCTAAACAAATGGTGACAGGTTTGCCTCAGATTACAGCCCCTCAAAATCTCTGCACACAATGTCTGGCAGGAAAACAGCATAGGAACACTATGTCAAGGAAAGGTGTATGGAGAGCATCCAAAATTTTGCAGCTAGTTCATGCAGATTTATGCGGACCAATCAAACCAACATCAAGCAACAATAAGAGATATTTTCTAAGTTTTATTGATGATCTATCAAGAAAAACTTGGATATATTTCTTAAGTGAGAAATCTGAAACGTTTTCTTTGTTCAAAAGCTTCAAGGCATTAGTTGAAAAGGAAGTTGAAGAAAGCATTATCTGTTTAAGAACTGATAGAGGAGGAGAATTTTCTTCAAAAGAATTTGAAGATTTCTGCAGAAATCAAGGAATAAGAAGGCAATTGATTGCTGCCTATGCTCACGCAGCGAAGCAGAGTCGCTGAGAGAAAGAATAGAACCATTATGAATATGGTTCGTTCTATGCTTGATTGGAAGACGAGGTTCCAAAAATCTTTTGGCCGGAAGCAACAAAATGGTGCGCACACATTCGAATAGAAGTCCTACATCTGCTGTCCAAGATAAAACCCCGGAGGAAGCATGGAGTGGAATAAAACCAGTTGTCTATTATTTTCGTGTGTTTGGTCTGTCTAGCTCATGTCCACACACCAGATCGACGACGGGTTAAACTTGATGACAAGAGCGGATCGTGTGTTCTATTTGGAGTCAGTGATGAATCCAAAGCATACGAGACTTTTGATCCGAGTCAACAAGAAAATTATAATCAGCAAGGATGTTATATTTGAAGAAAATAAAAGGCTGGAGTTGGGAACTAAGTGAAGCAAAAAATCACCAAGAAATTGCTGAAAACGAAGAAGATGACGGTGATACACAATCCGAATTAAACACCGAGCAGGAGCAACCGGAATTACAACTCTGTAGGAGAAACTATCGAAATGAATCTCACACTCAAACATATGAAGTCCCAACTGAAGGGAGGGCGAGAAGAAATAGGAGAAAACCTATATGGATGGCAGATTATGAAGAAGGGGAAAGTATATATGATACCAACAATACTAATGCTATGCTAGTAACAGAAACTGATCCAGTAACCTTTGAAGAGGCGGTTAAGCACAAGAAATGGCGAGAAGCAATGGTGAAAGAAATGGAGGCTATAGAGAAAAATCAAACTTGGGAATTAACTCATGCTCCCAAAGAAGTGAAGCCGATTGGAGTGAAGTGGATTTACAAAACCAAGCTCAAGGAGAACGGTGAGATTGACAAATTTAAAGCAAGATTAGTAGCAAAAGGCTATGCACAACACTATAGAGTGGATTACACAGAAGTGTTTGCACCAGTTGCCAAATTAGACACTATTCGCATAATTCTATCTATGGCTGCACAGAATGGCTGGTTCATTTTCCAACTTGATGTGAAAAGCGCATTCCTCCATGGAGAACTGCAGGAGGAAATATATGTTCAACAACCAGCTGGATTCACAAAAAAGGGGCAAGAAGAAAAGGTGTACAAGTTGAAGAAGGCACTCTATGGACTCAAACAAGCACCCAGAGCATGGTACAACAAAATAGAAGCATATTTCTTACATAATGGCTTTGAAAGATGTTTTTGTGAACATACTTTGTTCACAAAGTCGGCAAAGGAAGGTAAAATTATTATTGTAAGCCTATATGTAGATGATTTAATTTACACTGGAAATGATAGTGGCATGTGTAATGAGTTTAAGGACTCCATGATGTCGGTGTTTGACATGACTGACTTGGGGAAGATGAGGTATTTTACGGGAATTGAAGTTTTGCAGAGTACACATGGTATTTTCATATGTCAACGAAAATATGCCGGGAAGTATTGGCTCGGTTCAATATGATGGAGTGCAATGCGGTAAAGAATCCAATAGTTCCGGGAACCAAATTATCCAAAACCGATACAGGAATTAAGGCAAATGCCACGCTCTTCAAACAAGCAGTTGAAAGTCTTATGTATCCGATCTGCAACCGGACTGACTCGATGTATGTGGTGAGTTTAATTAGCAGATTCATGGCTAACCCTTCGGAGACTCATTGGAATGCCATCAAACGAATCCTACGATATCTAAAGGGAACTACTGAGCTTGGAATATACTACAAGAAAGGAGAAGATATAAAAATAGTGGCTTATACGAGACAGCGATTATGCGGGTGATATAGACGATAGGAAGAGCACATCGAGATTCGTATTCTCCTTAGGGACCAGTGCGGTTTCATGGTCTTCCAAGAAACGACCAATAGTGACGTTATCTACTACTGAGTCGGAATATATAGTCTGCAACTTCATGTGCATGTCAATGCATTTGGATCATGAGAATTTTGGAGACCATTGGATTCAAAGAACAAAAACATATCCTAATTACGTGTGACGATAATTCGAGTTATTAAATTATCCGAAAATCCAGTTTTTCATGGCGAAGTAAACATATTGATGTTAGATTTCATTTCTTAAGAGAGCTTGTCAAAGAAGGAAAAATCAAGTTGAGCCACTGCGAGCACCCAAAATCAAATAGGCGACATAATGACTAAGCCACTCAAGCTGGAGCAATTTGAGAAGATCAGGAGAATGTTGGGCATGATTGAAATATCGAAGTAAACTAAAGCTTCTAAATCTTTAGTTTAAGGGAGGGATTGTTAGTAGATTTATCTTTTATTTGCAGATTTATGTTCTTTGGATTATTTAATTCTGTGTTTAAATAATTAAATGGTCTTATGCGGACCTATTCTTTAGGGATTGAGGGAGCTAAATTGTAGCTTCCCTATTTTTAGGATAACGACCCATGAGTCATGCGGCAGAGTGGGAAAACAGTTTTCTCGTTTGCAAAGTCTATTTAATAATGTAATTCTCTTACGAAAGAATCAACACGAGTTTTTGAGATTACAAAATACGAAGCATCATTTACCTATTCCATGTTCACAAAATATATATATATATATATATATATATATATATATATATATATATATATATATATATATATATATATGACGAGTGATTAAAAATTCCTAAAAATAATAGAAAAAAAAAGATAACGTATGGCATTATTATCATTCAATCTTATCTTTGAACAAGAATCATCAATATTGATAAACTTAAACAAGTCCAAAACATTTGAATAACCATCTAAATTTAGGTCTATGTTATAGATATGGCAGTGAGTTGCTAGATTTGAAGAGAGATACCTTAGAACTCTGCCCTCTCTAATATTTCAATACCAAACAATATAATATATATATATATATATATATATATATATATATATATATATATATATATATATATATTTATAAATATGAGTTTACAACATAATCTTAAAAAAGTAATTTAATATTAAAAAATGGAAAAGCATTATAGAATTCAAAGCTAATGACCATAAGTTTGATGTTATTAAAGCTAATGCCAAACCCATCCTCATCCCAAGTTCCCAATATTCGGGAGCTCTTTGTTATGGTGTTTGTTTGGTTATCATTTCTTTCACATTTATATTTTGGCCGCAACGTAGACATACACCTCATTATGCATGTCCTTGTTCCAATCTTCCTTTCTTTCCTATCTAAAACCCTAAAGTGTCCACGTTCACTACAATCTGAAACATCACCAATCAAGAGACAACAGTTCAGTGAATCATACCTCTACACAACGTTGACCATGACCAGCCACGTCACTGCATAATGTACCTCTCCTTTCTATCAACACCACTGAAAACCACAAAGCCCCACCACAATTAATACCTGTAAGCGTGTTCTCAGAGGTTGATGAGTGAAAGAAACACCTTATTGCCAAAGGGAGAAAGAAGTAGATAAGAACTGCGCTGCACGCGCCACGCGTCGCACCAGCAACACTTGTTCTTTTGCTTTTACATTTCGTCATTGATGATGTGATAGAGTTTTTGGGTTAAATTATATTACTCTTTGTTTTTGTGACTGCTTTTAAATACACTTTTTTCTACGTAAAAGCACATATACTTTGTTTTTTCTTTACCAAGGATGGAAATATTTTATATTCCACCCTCATGTTGTGGATTCCTTAATTAGAAGTGTTATTCATAAGTTTTATTGCATTGGGATGTAATTGATTAAACATTGGTGAAGTCTACTTTTAAGTTTTTAAATAAAAAGAACATTTTTATTGGTCAAATTTAAAATATTTAGAAAAAAAATTGTCCACCCACCTAAATCTATTTTCTTGACTCTCGTATTCCTACTTGGCCACGTGTTCACCGCCCCTTGAAAAACCTCACGTGAAAAATGATAACGACTACAAAATTTATAAAACGCATTCACTGTATGTAAGGAGAAAGAAAGAGAGACTCTGTTCTTTCCGCCTTCACAAATAACTCACGCGTTTTCGCCTTATCTCCACAAAAAATCTTCCCATCAAAAAATCTATAAAAAAATCTAATATTAATTCAGATTAAATATCCATAAAATAAAATCTGATATTGAAAGCGTAAATTTTTACCTTGCTTTTCACAGCATCATAAATAGTGGTTATATTATATCAATGCTTACGCGTTGAATAATAATTTGGCAAAACCATTACTCATAAATGTCTCAAAAAGTAATTAATGTTTTGGTTATTTTGAGTTTATCATTATTGTGAGAATATTCCAAAGCTTCTTTTGTGAACAGTTGTATACACTGAACCGAATCAGCCACATAGCCGAGACCGTACGGGAAGTAGATAAGGTCGTCCGCATAATGATCTTTTCAAATGTTCGACGTGGCGCAATCCCAAAGGCCCAAACCGAACTCGACAAAGATTTCGTCGCATGTGTCTCGACCTTCGTGTCCCTATATAATAACCGCCACCTCTTGGTTACTACAGAGAACAGAAAAACACAAAGCTAGAAAAAAAAAAAAACTTTGTTTTATCTTGGTGGATCTTGAAATTGAGCAAAATGGGAGTTCCAGAGAGAGACCCTCTTGCACAATTGAGTTTGCCTCCTGGGTTTAGGTTTTACCCCACTGATGAAGAGCTTCTGGTTCAATACCTTTGTCGTAAGGTTGCTGGGCACCATTTTTCTCTTCCAATCATTGCTGAAATTGATTTGTACAAGTTTGATCCATGGGTTCTTCCAGGTAATGAATTTTTCTCTATTTGATTGGAGTTTCAAGTCTAATCACGTTTTGGATGTAAAGTCAAAGCTCCTAAGAGTATTTTGAGTTTGGACATGGATTGACTTAATCTGAAATCAAGCATGCACGGCTAATAGTTATTTGCATAAAAATGAGGTTTGTTAATTGTTTTCTAATTGAATGCGGTTGTTGCGGGGGTGTAGGTAAGGCTGTGTTTGGAGAAAAAGAATGGTACTTTTTCAGCCCGAGGGATAGGAAGTACCCGAATGGTTCACGACCAAACAGAGTTGCGGGTTCTGGGTATTGGAAAGCCACGGGAACTGACAAGGTTATCACCACCGAAGGGAGAAAAGTTGGCATAAAAAAAGCACTTGTTTTCTACGTTGGAAAAGCACCCAAAGGCTCCAAAACCAATTGGATCATGCATGAGTACCGTCTTCTTGACTCTTCGCGCAGAAACAACCTCGGAACCACCAAGGTACTAACAGTTTACACAGTCACATTCCCTTCCCCTGTTTTTCAGCCACACCCCAAAGTCTTAAATTGTGATCATGATTTTCTATCAAATTTTCGATCGCGTTTTAGTAATCTAAAACTTTTATCTCACACCTCTGACATGGTTTGTTTCATATTGTTTGCTGCTAATGTTATGCAGCTTGATGATTGGGTTTTGTGTCGTATATACAAGAAGAACTCAAGCTCGCAGAAAGTTGAGCCAAATTTTTGGGCCAAAGAATGCAGCAATGGGTCATCACCATCTTCATCTTCCCACGTGGAAGACATGCTCGAATCATTTCCGGAGATCAATGATCAGTGCTTTACCTTGCCGAGTGTGAACTCGCTCAAAACAATGCAACAACAGGACGAGAATTTCGGGTCTCAGAACATGGGATCCGGGTTTTTCTCTGATTGGGTTACCCCGCCGGATCTTGATGCCATTTCTGAATTCGGGTCAGCTTGCCAAACCCAAGGGATGGTGAATTACGAGTTCAATGACTTATTTGTCCCTTCCGTTCCGCCATTTGGCCACATGGAGTTCATGGCAGGGGCACCGACCGAGGAAGAGGTGCAAAGCAGTGTGAGAACCCAACGGGTGGATGGAGCGGGGTGTTTTCAGCAGAACCCGAATGCTAGAAATTTATCAACTTCAATCGACCCATTTGGGTTTGGGTTCATGGACCAGCAAATTGGATTCGGGTTACGAAATTAGAGTATTCAAATGGATAACTGTGTAAATAATTTGGGGTTAATTTGAATTTGCATGCTATGCCCATTGTTATGGTTTATGTAATTGAGTCCCAAAAATGAAATGGAAAAACAGCAATTTTGGTCACACTTTCCGGCTAGACAAAATAGAGGTTTGTTGACACATTCATTGAATGAAAGTGACGAAGTATGCAGTGGTGCTTGAACCAAAACATCGTGGACCAAACACGAATCACATTGTACTTCAAAGCATCACATAACAAGTAATGAAAATATGTTTACCATTTGCTATAAAATTGTCTTCTCTCCATGATTGTTAAAAGTGAGATCCTTGTGAGATAAACCCTAATTTATTCTGTAAAACAAGTTATTAGTGTTAAATTTTTTACAAGATTTATCTCAGACATTCAAAATAATGAATACCTGTTAAATTAATACAAATGACATTCTATTTTAAATTATGCTGGTATATGAATTGTTGCAATTTGCATTTCTCTTAAGTTAAACCCTTTTCATAATTATCTGATGGAAGAAAAATTTATGCAAGATTTAATATGGAACATTTTTAATGTTATAAAGTGATCGAATCAAAGGAGCGTTGGTAGAACGAATATAGAGAAGTTTTGCTTTGACCAAAAGTGAAAGATCGTAAGTCTATTATTATATTATAAAAAAATTATAAATATATGATGAAAGAGTCGAATTCATATTGAGTAAGATTTTAAATTCAAATAAAAAAAGTAATTAATGTGAAAAACTAACCGGTCAAATAAAAATTAGTCTATAACAAAAATAATAAAACTTTGAACATTGAAATGGTGAACAAATAGAAAAAGAAAAATACAACTACAAATCAATTTATTTAAAACGTGATATCTTGACTCCACAAATGATTATTTTAATATCAGTATATTTCATCAAAAGTGGATCGCTGTTTTCCTTAATTTCTTGGAAGAATTCATATTTCAGAATCGTGGAAAGGTAAATAAGAAATATAATAAAATTTTATCCTAATGTAATAATTACAAAATTTTATATTTTATCGTGAAATCATAATAAATACATAATTAGTTAAAAATTAGGTAAAAAAATTAATAAAACAAATAGATTTTTCAAAACTCAAAGAAAGGAAGGAAATATTCTTTTTTAAAAGCAATGATCCTTCTGTCATATACTTCACATAATACTTTCAATTCAATTAAAGTTAGAATTTATCAGTAAATTAATGTCATGTTTTAACAATATTTTGATAAAACTTTGTACAAAAAAAATTATGTATAAGTTAAAAAATTTAAAAAAATTTACATTATATAATTTTTATAAAATAATTTTGCTTATAATAAAGTTTTTTTGTCCTAAAAAATATTTACAAAACAAACTTATCTAATCATAGTGAATTTTGAAATATGGTGGAAAAAATTATTAATTTGTCCAATTTTTATTTAATGTGAACTGTATCCATTAAGATTAAATTTTTCATCAACTTTACGGTATTGATGGCATATAAAAAGAGATATATAATCTTTTTATATATATAGACAAAATAATATTCAATCAAATAAATAAAAAACTTAACTTTTTTTTGCTTTTTATATACAAAAACTTGTACGCAAATTACGCTTTTTAATTAACTTCATCATGCTACTTTTAATTATTTACTTGATCAACCATTTAATCAAATTTGTCCAAATCAAATCATTTTTACAAATAGAAAATTAGGTTTTACTTTTTATGTAAGTAATATTGTCCTCCAAATGAAACTGAAGTTTATCTTATTAAGTGATGCCAATATTTAACAGACTTTTATATTAAATCACTATTTACAGTGACAAAAACAATAATTTTGATTAAAAATATTATAAATTAAAGATTATTCACTTATATATATAATTTTTAGGTTTAATGGTACGGTTTATCATCTTTTTCATAATTTTATAAAATGTGTCACCTTTTTTTCATCAATATTTATTTTCGTCCTTATCTAATTTTACTCCTTGATGTTTATCCATTGTCATTAATTTATCACTAAAGTAACTATACTGAATGTTGATATCACAATATTGATTGTTAATATGATGATTTGATCATACACATGACATTGATTTGACTACTTCAGCTATCCATTTTTTAAACTAGACATCATTTGATGTTGCAGCACTTAATCGAAGAGGCTTTGTTAATTAACATCAATAAATAGTTAAATAAGGATGGAGTAAAAATACATAAAATAAGATAAATATAATGACAAAAGTTTATTAGATGAAGAGACACGTGATGTTAACATCTTAATCTTATCTCATTTACTAAGTGGAGAAAGCTTTAGTTTGCAGAAAAAGGGTAGCATCGCACTCTTCCCAAGTCCCATCGAATGCATAATGAACCAAAAGATGGTGTGAAAGTGTGAAAAGGAAGAATATGCAAGCCAACGCTCAAAAGCAGAACCACAAGCATAAGTGTCAAGCGTGTCCTAGGTTTCAGCTTCATTAGAAGTGAGTTTGAACCTTGACCACTTTTCAAATCAAACTTCAACTCAAACTCAACTTCATCATCACATACCTTCCTTTCATTCTGGGATAGATTCTTTCATTTTTCTTTTTCTATTTTTTTTTTTTTTCAATTGAATGATGAAAATCCTCTTTGTTGTGGTTATCCACCTTTATTAAGTGCCTTTCGATTCTTGCTTCGTTTCTTGCACGTGTTTGCAACGTGACACTTTTTTTTTTTTTTTTTCTATTTGGTTTCTGGGGATATTTGCTTTGACCAAACACCCATCCAAATTGTCCTTTTCCTTTTATTTTCGATGGCATATTCATTGTTCGGATATTTCTATGTCCCTTTAGCATTTTATGAGGTTGTTCTTTTCCTTCTCCCACTAACAAGTTTCAAACGTGTAAGGTAAGAGGTTGAAGCATGGCATTCACGAAAACATGCATGTATGTGTACGCGTACGCTGTATATACATAGTCGTATGTACGCACGTATGAGGTATCCATCCTTTTCTACTTTATATTTTAAATAACTATGGGTTCGATCATGGTTCATGGACTTCATTTTCTTTTATTTTCAATATATGTTACAAAAAAAATAAAATTATTTATCAAGAAATACACACGAAATGATAAGTTAAATATTGAAACATTTCAAATAAATAATATTAATAATAAACTAATCGTATTTAACCTAAACAATTAACCTTATGTTTATTTATATAACTAAAAATAAGGTAAAACCAAAAGGTCGTTTAAATCAAATGATGGATTCGGATAAGAATCTTCCTAGTTGAAAAGATAGCATATTGTGTATATAAGAAATAAAAAGAGAAACTTTTGGATTACTTGGTTCAATTATAAGAGTCATGAAATTTTAATTCACTAAATTCATGTTCATAAAGATGATTGAACAATATTAGATTGATATGGTTTGGACCAGAACATATATAGCTATAGAGCCATTATATTCATGGTAACTAATAAAACTATTAAAACAATTAATTAATGTTATATATAAAAATCTTTATGATTAAGTAATCGAATGTCGCTTTCATTCTTTCAAAAAAAAAAAACATAAAAAAAATGCACCCATCATAGTCTCCCATAAATGATTTGTCCAAGGGTTACATTTAAATATTTTGACAAAGAAGATGTAGGGTTTCAAAATGCTTCAAATAGTAGTCACCCTCAAACTTTACATTCCACTATTATTGACTAGTAAAACATTTAATACCTTACAATAGGATCAAGTCTTGTTGAGAAAATTATACCCGCATATTCTTCTTTGACTAAGTTTTTTTTTTTTTTTAATCAGCAAAGTTTATTAAATTTCATTGAATTCCATTTCTAAACACTTGAATTTGAGACTTTTAAAAGAACGAAAAAAAAAAATTCAGTAGTTACAATGGATAAGATCTCTTATTCTAATTAAACGTATCAGATTTTGACAAACATAAAAATGAAGGTAAACATTAGGGCGTAATAATTAGTCTTTTATGTTACATTAATGATTGCATGTTTAGTTTATCTTTTCGTCCTTTTCGGTGGGGCTTAATAAAGAAAGCTGCGAAAAAGTATAGTTAGGTCACGCTTGAAGGACTTTTTTAAAGTAAGTTATGCGGAAAAAAGGAAAAATACTCTTACAATATTCTTTAATATCCTTTTTTTTCTTTTCCTTTTTCTGTCATAGTTCATTTCAATGCTGTGTCTTTAATCTCTATTTCAAGTCATATTAATTTGTTGTACAAGTTTTATAATTTTTAAAAATTATATCTTTCTGATCTAATTACATCTTTAATCCTTACAATTTAAAACTTCTAGTTTTGATCGTAAATTAAAAAAAAAATAGCATCTCAAAATACAATTTTAGTCCTAAACACTGATTTTTGAGAAATAAAAATGTTTTTTTTAATTTAAGATTTAAAATATAGATCTAAGATTTAAATATCTGTTAGTACCTTTCAAATTTAATATTTAACAACTAAAACAATGTTTTTTTTAGCAATTAAAAATATATATTCATACATATTCTCTTAAAAGCTTATATATATTTTAATTGAAATATTTTTAATTTCAATTAATATTTTTATCACTCCAGCGACCATGTTTCTCAAAAAAAAAAGTAATAAAATATTAACAATATATAACAAGTTAGCAATTATAATAAATTTTTAATCATTTCTCTTACAAAGTATATATTACTGATTATTTATTAGCCATTAATACTTTTTATTAGATAATATAATAGTGCAATTAGTGTATTGCCGCTAAAATAATTTTTCCAAAGTAAAATTGTGTAGTGTTTATTGAAATGTATTATATATTTGTATTTTTCCTTCAAATATATAATTTATGTTCTTTACTTTTCAGATTCTGAATGTTAAATATACAACTTTTTCTCAAAATATTTTTGAAACAATAATCATTATTTTTAAATTAAAATAAAAATAATTTTAAAATTTAAGTGAAATTATTTTATTTAATTAGAGATTGAATGAAATATGCAATGAATGTATTATCAAATTAAATGACAGTTAATTAATAATTATTGATGCAAAGATTTGACTGTTCCTTTTTCTTTTTATAAAGCTGTTACAAACATTCTTCTAATAGTCCAAGGAAATAAGCCCAATAAACTAGCAAAACTGAACAGCCCAATCTCAAAACAAAGTTGGGCTACAACTTAAGCCTATAATGCTCCATACGACCACAAAAGTAATCATGTTTAGTATAATTTTTAGGACAATGATTATACAATAAACTGCTTTATCATGGCAAATTATGATTAGTTAACAATGCAAAACATTTTTATATTGTCACAATAACTATTTTTTCTTAATTCTTATGTATTGTTAGTGTAAGATATTATACATTATCAACCAAAAAATATCATTGGTATAGTTTTTTAAGAAGTTATTATTTATAACATTTTTTTATTGAATAACATAATAAAAACTCCTTATACATGATGAGTGCATGGATTATTTACTCTTTAATTTATGGTTCTTTTATTTTAAATATATTATATTCATTGATTTTTTTTTTAACATAATAACTCGATTACAAATTATTATAATAAAGTTTTGACTCGTACCGTAACTATATATATATATATATATATATATATATATATATATATATATATATATATATATTATGATAAACATGCAATTAAATTGATTTACTATTTGACATTATTATTATTATTATTATTATTATTATTATTATTATTATAATAATAAAGTTGAGCTATTCAATGATATGTTTCTTGTGTCCTCAATTACAAGAAGAAAAAAACATAAATAAATTTTAACTATTTTGATCTTAATGAATGATATTTTTTCAAAGATATTCTTCAATTAAGTAAGATTATATTTTAATGACACTATTTTTTATATCAATATCTAAAAAAGTATTTTAGAAATTTAAAAACTATGAATAATAAAATTAAATAATATTAATTATCTTTAAATAAACATAAAAGCTAATAAATTTTTGGTCATAAGTTTATCTACAAGGTTATGCCTAAACATACTTTAAATAAATTTGTGTGGATTTGTCCTTAACAAAGAAGTGAGTTCCACGTTTTATATTCATTTGTGAAATTTATGATAAAAAAGTATGATGATATGGCAAGTTAAAACTTTTTTGTTCTTTTTTGAAATTTAGAGATAACTTATACCACATACTGTGGAATGACTTGAAATGCCAAAGTTAGGGTCACTTGAGAAGGATGGACAACGCAGCAAAGTCATCTGATTCTGAATGAGAGAGGGTGTTGAAATCTCTTTAAGAGATGAAATTAGGTTATGTTATAAAGGTGATGGATGGAGGATAAAAGAGACTGGAAAAAGCACAAAGGTTAAAGGGTATCAGAAAATGGGCGAAGGAAAAGGTTTTTGTGAGAAAAGTTATGTGTACGTGTAATTCAAAAAGGAAAGGTAACGTTTTGAAAAGTGCTTTAGCAAATAAAAGGGCTTCTGGTGCAATGGAAGGAAAGATCAAGAAAAGTATAACAAAATGGTGCATCTTCCATTACGCATTAATAAACTCCATTCATTTTTACTTTTTTATTTTTTTTACAAAGCTTATAAAACCAACAAAAAGTATCCATAAGGGTTTATCAATATAAGCTATTAATGAGAATGCTCCATGTTCTTATCTCTACCATGCCAGCGCCATAGCATCAAAGGCTCACAGTGTTATTAGAGACACTTTTTTCTCCATTTATAAACAGTACTAAATCAGGTCTATATCTATATATCTATCGTACTATCAAACTGAAACCTTTCTTTGCTAATGGGCTTTTAGGGCACTTAAACTTTGTCATCAAAACCAGATATGGTTTCCCTTTCTTTGTACCATCTCAAGTATGATAGCTTTGTAAATGTAGTTAGAGTGGGAAACAGTGATTACCGACATAATTGTTGGAAAACCATTGTCATTAGTCTATATTAATTGTTATAATCTCGAGTCCACCTAAGTTGTGACCTATACCTTAGTTAGATATAATCATCACTTTCTAAGTTGGATTTGTGGGATATACTTTAGCCTAAATCCATATTTTAAAAAATAACTAAAATGCTACACATTCAAAATCACAAGTCTTGAGTCTGGACAGTCTTTTTCAGGTGACGGCATTCTTGTAAATTCATCAGAAACACTGGTTAGGCTTCACGTCAAATACACTGATTGGGCTGAAACAGTAGGAACAGAAAGAGAAAGGTTCATATCTTAAACGAGTCAAATTAGATTCATCTTTCTTATTTTAGTAAAATTTCGTTCTTTGTGGTTTCTGTGATATAAAATAAAACACATTCTTTATCCTTCAGGTGAAATACAATACAAGTTAAGGGACTGGTTTTTGCTTGGCAACGTTCTTGGGGTGAGACTGTCCCACTCTGTGAGACTGAACCACCCTTTGTTCTACCTGAATTGGATGATTTTTCACCCACTGAAACAGGGGAGCCTCCTCTGTCTAAGGCAGTGTCTTGGGTAAGTTTGCACAAATAAATGTTTTTCTTTCTACTTACATTGCCATCAATAGGCAGTGTCTTGATTTGGCAGGCCCACTTGGACTTTCTTGTTTATTTAGCCCCAGTGATGCGCAGATACTTCAACATTGTTTGCATACTGGCATCATTCCATTGCCAGATTCCTAAATAATGTAAAGAAAAAACAAAAACATTGAAAGAAAGAGACAATAATTTCAGTTCCTTTGTTATATTATACGGTCAAACTACGACAAAAATTGTAACCAAGCTTAAAAAATAAAACAACTAGCATCTTCTAAGGTTCTTAAATATGATATTCTTATCCCAGTTATTGCACTTAGCATCTTAACTAGGTATTAAACATATGGTAGTAGCAAGAGCATGTAAATTCGCAGGTAAGAGCAGTCAACGCTAAATCCCAGGTCAAAATTAATAAAACGGAAAGCAGAAACATGGTAGGATCATATTCTATTGACACTTGGAACAAAGTAGGATCGAATATTCCCAAGATTTCTGACCAGCTTTTGAGAATCAATGTCATTGATGGGTTTAGGAGCGACAAGGTCGGCAACATCATCGTCGGGGTTTGAATAGCAGGTCTCGCCTCCACCACACAATGCAAGGGCTTTCCACCGAACATCACAGAGGCACGTGAACAACACCTACGTATACGGATACCTTACTCGTAACAATACCCGTATGTTATAATTCCCTTCAAAAAGTTTTTCATTGCATCGTTGTTTCCACAGATTTTCCGACGGATGGATATATCATGATAAATTTAATTATGATAGACCCAAATCCGTCGATAAATGTCGATGGTATAATAGTTTTTTTTTTTTTTTCATTCAAGGTCCATTGCATGAAAAGGAAAAACAAATTGTAATGTAAGAAAAAAAATGAAATTGAATATATATATTAATTCATTTTAAATGAATAAATATTTTTAAATATATTTTTTAATCGTATTTATTTTGAAACATATTTATAAAGTAATATTTACCATAAAGTTATATATTTTATAGAAATATTTGAGTTTGAATTAATAAAGTTATATTTGATTATAACAATATGAATGTATTATAATATTGATTTTATTTTTAAAATAATTTTGTATATTTATCACTTTACTAAATATAACATAATTAAAAGTCACTATATACTTATATATTGAAATTATACATAAGAAATAAAATGAGAATAATTTTGTAAAATATTTTTTTTAATTTTTTCTTTAAAAATAAAATTTGGGGTTAGAATGGAAAATAACATTAAACTTTATCGATATGGAACAAGAAAAATATATTTTTTTATTTTTATATATTACTCATTTTTAATTGTTCACTTTCTTTCCAAACACGTATTATTAAAAATACTTATTCATATTTTCTTTCGTATTTTGCATATCTAATATTGGAATCAGGCAGATGATACAAATATAAATTTGATTTAGTTGGATATTTTAGTATTCTTCTCAATTATTTATTTATTTTCTTTTAACCTTAACTTTAATTATGATTAATTTTTATGATGTTGCATACAAGGCTTAACTTGCAAATATACCGGAGATATTAAAGAAGTTTTTGAGATTTACGCGAAAGATTTATTCTTAATCATACAATTTTATTTATAATGCTATTAATTATTTTTGTAGCCTATTAACTTTTTAATTATTCATAAGAAAAGACGCAGGAAATAAAGAGAGAAAGAGTGTCACACTCAACAGTTTGTCTCATGAGAATATGTATGATTTGGTAACGAAGAAGATGATGGAAGAGAAGTTTAATCTGTGAGAAATGTAAACTGTAAATAATGGCTTCTAAGATAAATGAAGACGACATCACCATCTTGAAAACACCACGTTGATGAAATTGATTCGATAATATTTTGAAACACAATAATGTTATATTAAATTATATTTATTTATTCGTACGAAAACCTAGAATGGAGGAACAAACGCACGATTCTCTAGTATCCACATCGTAGGAAGGAACAGAAAATTAAATGAATATTAATTAGGTGAGCACACAAACTTTGGTGTAAAAAATTGTAGTTAGAAAATATGGAACGGTGACTTAATTTAATTTTTAAAATTGGAAAAATATGAGAGACGATAGTAGTTTAGCAATTGGCAGTAATGAATTAGAAATTGAATATATTGTATCTACAAAAAGAAACTCTTATCAAGATAATTAATCTTATCATCTTATCATGTCTTAGACATTACGGATTTCAATAAATTACTTTGCGTATATACCTGGGTCATGGAAAAGAATACGAATACGCTACGGTAAGCAAAAGCGCCTTTATTTAGATACATTCTATTTTCTTAGTTAAGATTTATGAAGTTATTAAATACATGATTTTAGCTAATAAATAAATTAGTTAAGGAGTATTAAAGAGTATATTAGTAGTTGTTTCTTAAGACGGTAATAGTTTGAAAGTGTGAAATTAATACGATGTGAAGATGGGTGAGGAGTGCGATGGAAAACGTAGTTTGGGCAGAGTCTAGGGTTTGTAATTTGATGAGGGTTTGGGTAGCTCCACCTGGTGCGAGTCATGGGCAACAGTGGGTGATGGGTGATGGGTGGTGGGGTCCTCTGTTGCATGACTAATCAGCATTTGGGGCCACCTATGATGGTTGTTTTAGGGGTTTACACCATCCAAGATTTTTGTAGGCTTCATCGATTTTGATTAGATATTGAGTCATTGTGGGGTAGGGTTTGGTTTCATCTCCACATGCATTTTGGCATGTGTGCCCATCTACTCATGCACGTCCCTTTCACCCCCTCTTTCGGTCAAATGCATGGGAGCATTCTCAAACATTGTCCAATCACAACACCAAATACTCTCTATCCTTCACTTAATCACATTATACCCACCTTTCCTCGTCATTCTAATTCTTTTTCTTACATTTTAATATATAATACACCATTTTTAGTTATTTATAGCAACTTACCAAGAACACAAATCTCACATTTTATAATCAAGGACTCAATATGTATAAGAGGAATTAAAGGGGCGTTATTCCACCTCATATACAAGTCCCACATTATTTAAGATCCAAGATAAAAAAATAGTTTATAAACTTCAAATGCATCTCCAAGGTAAACATTCTAGAAAAATTTTGAGAAGAGTTACTTTCTAACATTTCTCTATATAATGTACATTATTCAATTTAACATTTAATATATTATTTGGTTACATTAATTTCTATATATCTTCTAACCAACTATTTCTCTAAATTGCATTTAGTAGTACCTTTAAAATTTGAAATAAAGTCATAAATGTACATGTCTATATCAACCATATGATATATTATTCCATTATCATTAGCATAAGTGGGGGTTCACACGAGATCAAGAAAAAAAAAAAAAGTGAAGGTTCACTCAATGGCAGGTGGGGCATGGTAAATTTTCTTAATCCATTGGTTGATGTTGGCATTGGTGGTGGTATATGCCCAACAAAAGCAGAAAGTGTGGAAAACCTTTGTCCCCACACTTATCTTTCCCTCGATCAACACTTTTTTTTTTGTTTCATCACATAAAACAAATTAAAATTAATATCAATCACCATCCAACATGGATTTCTAGGGTTACTTTTCAACACCACCACATCCTCACCATTCAATATTTTCTTATATTGTAATTTTCATTTTCGAAAATTAAATAAATCCTGTGGCTGCACCATTGAACCACGCACCCTATAGCATTTATTTTCGAACTGTAGGGGCTTCAATCTTCACATCCCCATCATGTTTTCGCCAGATTCTCTACATATCTAATGCATCCGTGCAGTTCATCATCACACCGTTCATTATGATTAATCTTCCTTTCCAATGTTTTCTTGTTAAACAATGGAACATTATTTACGGTGGAGATTGTATTTCAGTTTTCGTAAAAATGTGAAGGGTCTCATTCAATCCTATTTACTCTTAAGAAATGAAATTGGCACCGTGGTCCCATCCACGTGTCGAGTTTTCATGGTTTGGAATCTTACGTGTCGATCTCTCACCGGCCGAACTTGCAGTTCGTGTAGTCTGTGTTATTAGGTCAATAACTTTTTTATTTCGAAGGATGTTAGGTCAATAACTTAACTTATAAATTATTTAATAATTCCTCTCAACTTTTATCACTCAGTTAATATTTTTTATTATATAAATTTATTTATCAAAATTTATTTTTGAATTGTTTTTTTAGTTTTTAAATATATTTTTCATTAATTCCCACGTGAAATAAATGAGTTGATGGTTGGATAATATAACAATTTTATACAATTATCTAATCATATATATATATCTTATAAGGCATAATGTTTTTCATAATAAACTTATAAAAAAATTTACATTTACAATAACTATTTTAAAGTCAAATAATGGTTTTTTATTTATTGAATGTGATTTATTTGTCAAAAAATATTTGTTTATCCATCACAACACTTAAATCTAAAATCATACATTTAAAAATAAATCAAGCATATTCCTTGAGTGATTAATTGGATTTATATCTAAACCTAAATTTACTAAAATCTCAATACTTTTTTGTTATAATAAACTATTTATATTCTGTATTTTGTTGTTTTAAATTCATGAATGAAATTCTACCTCAAACACCGATGCTAATCTCTGAAATGACCCATATGCCCCTCCCGATGAGTCATGGAATCATTCGCATACCCACATGCATGTATTAAGTGCAACATTGGAAGTGTCTGTAGGCGATCATTTCCATCTTCCACACATAAGATCATGGCCTTCACCTTGACTTTGGATGGTAAATAAAGCTACATACATATCATCATCATCATCCAAAGTGAAAGATGTGTGTTCTCTTATTGTGTGAAGCCAAACCCACAACAACAACAACCACAACCACAACCATTGGAACCCAACGTACTGAACAACCTTGGTAATTTACCATGGACAGCACAGAAGACTCATCCACGAGTTCACAACAGCAACCGAACCTTCCACCCGGGTTTCGGTTCCACCCCACAGATGAAGAGCTCGTGGTTCACTACCTCAAGAAGAAAATTGATTCTGTTCCTCTCCCTGTTTCAATCATCGCTGATGTTGATCTCTACAAGTTCGATCCATGGGAATTACCAGGTTTGTCTCCAATTTTACCCATATAAGTAATATGTTGCAAATTGCAATCTTTAAACTCTTTATTGCTCACAATATCATGATTTTAGAGGTTTACACTCATCAACCGTACTTTCTTCATAATTTTTTTAGATTTTAGATTGTAATATATTAAAGTCTACGATCCACACTTTTGATTTTTATCTGGGTTTGACTGTATAGTGAGATTCATATAGCTGACCTCACCTAGTGAAATAAGAATATTTTTTGTATTATAATTTAACTTTATGATGAAAAATGAAATGGGTATTTAGTTATTCATTTTTTGTTCTTTTTCTTTGGTTTCTTTCTCATTTTTTTTTTCGTTTGCATTTGGTTATGCAGCTAAGGCATCGTTTGGGGAGGAAGAGTGGTACTTTTTCAGTCCAAGAGACAGGAAGTACCCAAATGGTGCGAGGCCAAACAGGGCTGCAACTTCAGGGTACTGGAAGGCCACAGGGACAGATAAGCCAATATGCAGTGGAACTCAAAAGGTTGGGGTGAAGAAATCTTTGGTTTTCTATGGAGGGAAACCACCAAAAGGAGTCAAAACCGATTGGATCATGCATGAGTATCGTCTTGCTGAAACCAAGCCTAACAACAGGCCTCCTGGGTGTGACTTGGGTCACAAGAAAAACTCCTTAAGGGTAAACCTTGTTTCATGTAAAAGCTTGCTTTCTTCTGCTTCACTTTTGAGCACATCGTTCACATCACTTTTTCTTCCACTAGAGGCTCTCTTCATTCGTCAATTCTTTCACAAAATACAACCATGTAAAAGTTAGGATATATTAGAATAATAATGAAACCTATCCTTGTGCTTTAGGCACATTGCTGAAGCATGAATCACGCTTTCTTTCTTCTAAATTGGCTTTTTCACTTTGTGTTTCTTTCTTTCTGTGTGAAGAAGTGTTCCTAAAATTTTACAAGAATATCATCAGTTAAAAGTTCAGTGAAAAAATAATTTAATATTTAAGATATCATCGCTACAGAAGAATAATAACATGTGAATTGTGCATGGATTTGTAGCTGGATGATTGGGTGTTGTGCCGGATCTACAAGAAGGGCAACACACAAAGGTCACCTATGGACCATGAGAGGGATGATTCCATGGATGACATGATTGGAGAAGTACCTCCTTCCATCAACGTGGGCCACATGAATGCGAGATTTCACCTTTCAAAGATGTCCACGAGCTACAGTGGTGCATTGTTGGAAAATGACAGAAACACGTTAGAAGGGGTGGTTATAGGCAATGGTGTGAATGGGATCAGCACTACAACAAGTGCCCTACCATCTCAGTTTGGCACCTCGAATTCCAAGGCAGATCACCTTCCTTTTGCCCTTTCAAACAACACTTCAGCCTCCAAAAGAACACTCTCATCACTGTATAACTGGAATGATGATAGTGATGAAAAACACTTCAATTTGGATAGTAACGGGAATGTGAGTGTTGTGAGGACTGACGAGAACAACGGTACTCCTGGCTCCTTTGCTACTCTGCTTAACCAGCTCCCACAAACAACTTCATTGCCCCAACTAGGGTCTATGGGAGACGGGTTACTTAGAACACAGTATCAAATACAAGGGACTAATTGGTATGGTTAACTCCATTTTGGGGCTATGATATGATATGATATGATATGATATGATAATTATATTGCACAAGAAGGAACTAAACCAAGGTGTGGCAAGGAATCCTCAACTAGTGCTAGATTGCAAAGATTTTTAAAGGGTTATCGAGGTTGTGGTTTAATTGTGTTAGGACAATGGAAGCACGTTAGAGTACTTTAATCAATGTTTTCCTTCAACTATTTGCAGGTAGCTCCAGGCAATTAATATATACCACATGAGGTGAGGGAGTGAGCCACATGGTACTTTAGTTTTATATATATAGATTGATATAGAATGATAGGATAGAGATATAGAGATAGATATAGAGACATATTTGCTTGTTTTATATTGGTGAGTAAAGAAACAAAATGAGGGTGCTCTTTGTGTACAAAATTTCAAGAGGGTAAGAGAAAAAAAAAAAAAAGAGTTAGCCATTTATATATTTATATATATACTTTGCTTTAGGATACAAACTGAAGAATGTAGAACATATACTTCAGAATGACATATATATATTGATGCAAGAATTTAAAATATGTATATTGATTGTGTTATTTGTGGTTTAATTTGTCTTTGTATATATATCCTGTTCATGCTTGATAATTTTGATCTGTTTATTATCACTGATATTAAATTGTGAAGCGACCACAACTGAAAGAGATTTTGTGTCACGTCTTTGCATGTAACCTAGGTAACCTAGATATATGGCTATTGATTAGCATTGTTAATATCTATATCCTTTGGCCTGAATGATTTTGGTATCTGAAGCAGGTTAGGTAGGATGAGTATCCATACACAAACAAACAACAATCATTTTCACTGCTTCTGTCTTCTTATATCATATAGGGGCCCTCTTGCACCATCATAAATAAATAAAATTAAAAATTATGTGCAATCTTCTGTTGGAGACTTTTCATATTGATCTCCCAACTATGAAAGAAGGGTTTTGAATTTTGTCCCAGATGATCACATTCTTTGAAAACGATATATTTGTCATCACTTGTATATTCTATCTCATGATATTATAACCTTTTTCTATATCTGATTTTCTGGTTGGTAAAAGTAGTATATCATAGTAATGAAAAAAAAAAGTCAGCAAAGATTTATTAATAACAGTGACAATAACTATGCTATTTCAGAATTGTTTAATACTTATGATGGAACCATTGGTGGATGATATGTCATCCATGCTTCAGAGCTATATGGTGTTGATGCACATTCTCAAACTCAGTTTTTTAGATTATTAATGTTATTGAAGATTGGTGGCATTGTGAAGCTACGATACCACATCGTCATTAATGGAAATTACTTTTGATGCTCTACAACTTTTTCCCCCTAATTTATTCTTTCTAAATCTGGCATGGCTCGTGCAGCCCCATATTGGTGCCCATACAAAAAACTTTCAAACATTTTAAGAATAAATATTTGAAAGGTTGAAAACATGAAAAGTTAAGAAAGCATACACACTAATAAGAGAAAACTAAATTAAAAAAGGTTATAAAATAAAAAATTAGCAATAATAAACATTAATATTAAAAATAATAAAAATTATATTTATGCATGTATTATAAGTAATCTAATTTGGTAAAAATGAGTTTTGAGAAAAGGGGAAGGAAAAGGGATAGTGGAAGTATATTGGAGGGAAGGAAGGTGACAGAAACGGAGAAGAAAGTGGAATTGATGAGAAGGTGTGGTTGTGGCTGGAGTGTGAGAGGGACCATTGATGTTATGATCGAAAGGAATCATTATCCAAAACCCACACAAATCAAATTTCACTTTAATTGCTTTCCTTTTCGGGGAAACAAAACGAACCAACTTTGTAAAGTTTGGCATCACTTGTGCCTGGTTTTGGAATGGCCATCATCACCACCAATTCATGGCTTAATTCTATTCCTGTTTTTGAGTTTTCCATCATTCTTTCAACGCCCTTAAAGTCTTTCAACTCTTATCTCTCCTTCAATAAACACATCTTATGTGTGAACCAAAAAACTCTTTCTTCTCTTCTAAATATTCTTTTTTTTTTTTTATTGCTTTCAGGGGTTCTCTGTTTTTTTTTTCTTCATTTTCTATTTTTATTTTCGTTCACAATAGAAAATAACAAAGAAACTGTGTTTTGGGAAATATTTTCAAAATACACCCCCTCTTTATTTGTTTCGGACATCAATTGGAAAGTGATTGATATCTATATTATGCATGGACGTTTCAACGCAAAATTCTCTTACCCTCAAAAATAATAAATCATTCTTTGTTTCTTATTTTTATCAGTTTTCAAATTTCTTTAACAATTCTTTTATTATTTTTAATTTTTAAAATTAATACAAAATACTTTTTATTAACTATGTTTATATATTCATATTATTACAAAATTATATTTTAAGGAAAATGATGTATTCACAACCCCTCTTTTAAATATATTCATTTAACAATTTTATATATAAATATAATATTAATAAAAAAATTTATTTTTATTTTTTTATTGTTATATTATTAAATAAAAATTGTAGAATGTATGTTTGCGTGTAAATATCATTACTTTTTGTTATAATTTTTTGTGATATTATTTTCTAAGAGTGTTATAAAATTATTATTATTATTAAATAATTTTTATTTAATTTCATAACTTTTTCCTTGGTTTATCACACCTCTGTAAAGAGTAGTATTTTGCTAAAAATTGAGTGTATCCATCTTCAGTTTAGTAGTTGTAACAGGAAAGTTGCCTTTTTCTTTAGTCAAGGTTTAGTATTATAAGGAGAATGCAGTTTTTTATGAAATTTTTTATAAGGTTTAGTATTCATAGTTTTCATATTGGAGTTCCACTCTGTGTAATGTGATTAACAAATAATATTCTTCTTCCACAACATTAGTGAATCTAAGAAACTGCAAAACCAAGTTTGAATTTGGTAAAAGGTTAATTAGTAGCAGAGTTTTATGTGTGAAGATTTAATAATGTCAGTACGCTATAATTAAACTCATAATTATTGTGTAGTTTTATTGAATCTGATAGAAAAACATGGTCCTTACACACTGTAGTGTGTGTGATTGGCACTTAAAATTTCAGATTTGAGTGATTAGTATATTATTGAAACAGAAAGTGGATATCAGTGAGAGCCATATTGACAGTAACAAGCAAAATTGAAGCAGAATCCGCCCACTGCATTCTCCCTCTCTCTGCACTGATTATCACATGGGCCACTTATTATGCAAGGTCCTGACCATGTTCCACTTGGCTTATTGCAGATTGCTTCACCAACACTAACCTTTGAAGATATAGACAAAGCAAAAGAAATCAGAAAGATAATCACTTGGTTGGTACTCAAGAGATAAACATGGTATGGTATGTAAGTTAATTCCTTAATGAATTTTGGAAAATTAACAACTTTTATTCTTCATCTGTAAATAGTGGGATAAATAACCAAGTGGGGGAGATTATATATATATATATATATATCATCATTACTCAAGAAGAGAAAGGAGACACTAACTAGGAGCAGAAAAAAGGAGAAAAGCAAAGCAGAAGAAAATAGCAAAAGTGGAGAATTGATTAATACAAATAGCCATTGAACTTTTTGTTGCTGTAAACTATTGCTTTCTCTGGGAAGTTGGAAGCACAAGATAAGATAGAAATATATATAGTAAGAGGAAGAATGGTTGGGGCCAATAAGGGTGCAATGAGCTTGAACATAGGGAAGACCATAAAATTGGTTTTGTACTTTGTGTTCTGTTTCTGGTCCTTGTTTTATTCATTTTCTTTATATGCTTTACGGCCTCTGCTTCAATCTTGATTTGGTTGATGCTAAAAGTAATGTAATTACACAAATAATTCTTGAATAGAAAATTACTATCAACGTTAAGGATCATGCTACAGCACACAGTTTGATTTTGTTTTCTTTCTTATCCTCTAACAAAGTTTCTTTCCTAACCAGTAAGAGTGTGCTTGGAACTTGTTTTTCATTTCAGGTGTTTTTATATAAAATAGGTTTGATTTTTGTTGGGTCTATGAAAATATTACTATGGTGAAAAGTACCACCTTACATTTGATAAATAATGGATAGGTGATAGTAAGTATATAATGAGTTTAAAATTTACAAGATTTTTTATTTAATTTGTATTTAACTTTTCTTATATTTTTGTAGTAGAATATTATGAGATTTAGTTTAAATTCTTGTTTTTGAAGAGTACTTGGGATCAAAGTTATGAAAGAGTTATTTATGTAAAAAATTTCATATAGTATTATTATTTAGTTATGGTTAGATAATAGTGATTTTTTTCTTATTTCTTTATTAGGAAAATAATTGTTAGTAAACTTTATTAAAAAAAAAAAAGTCTTAACTCCATTTTTATCTTTTTTATTTTAAGTACAATTTTTGTCCCTATAAAATATTATACGTAATAGAATAATAGATATTAAAAGATTTTGTTAAACATGGTTATTAATATGGACATGAAAAAATAATTATAACTATTGTTTCACACGCGTAAATTTGTTAGTATTTTGAAAATTGCTTCTTTTTGTTTTTAAAATGGAAGAATAATATGTGCAGTTAAACTTTAAAAGAATCAGAAGTGTAAATTTGTAGAACTATAATTATCAAAAATTAATTTAAGCCTAAAAAAAATCTAAAAATGAATTGTTTTAATAGACCTGAAAATTTGTAGTTTATAATTTTTTTTCAATATTTTTTCCCTTTAGATTCATACGCATTCTTTTTTTCTTGCCTAATTTTTTTTTCATTCAAACAAAATTAACTATCTAAAAATCAATTTTCAGCAAATTTATCCAAATAAAAAGTGAATGTGATTATAATAGTTTATAATAATAACTAAAATTATTGAAATAATCTGATTTTTTATTATCCCAAAAATACTCTAAAAATATATTGTAGCTACTATCACTAGTTTTAGAATGAATTAAAACACTGAAAAATAAAATAGCCCATATAACATGCATAAAATTGTATAGATTTTTTTAATTGAAATAATTTACCATTAATTATCCTGCTAAATGTATTATCTTTTATGGATTTTATCATAAATTCAACCTTATTTTACTCGACGTAAATCTAGACATATATACTGTTGCATTTGAGAATTATAATGTTTCTTCTTCTGTTGATTTTTTTTTTAATGTCTCCTTGAACATGGTGACTAATCTTTCTCTAGAGTGTAATAGACATTGAAACGGTGGACATTATGTCTCAATTTGAATTTTCTACATTTATTATAAGAATAGAGAATACAAATATCTAGATATTTAATATTATTTTAATCCCTATATTTAGCAAAATTAATATAGTTTGTGTTTCATAAAAACTAAAAACACGTGTTTTAGGATAAATAAATATTGAAACTAAAAAGCATATTAATTTTTATTGAAATGAAAATCAAATTTCCAAAGATTGTAAGGATTTAAAATATATTTTACTTATTATTTAATATATACAATAATTCTTATAATTAAGAAGAAAAATATATAAGATAATTATAGTATTGAAAGCTAAAAAAATATTTTATAAGTTACTGTATAATTTTTGTTTCATAAAACATTAATATTAACATGTTTAGAATGTAATTGCTTAAAAAGTTATAAGTAAAAATGTTTACCATTAAAGTTATTGATATTATATTAGTGTTGCTTAAAAAGTACTTTGAATTAGAAAAAATAATAGAGAAAGTGTTTTAACTATTAAAATAAAAATAATTTTGAGAATTACAAGATTAAATTAAATGCTCACTTTAACAGATGTAATATTGAATGGATTTTATGATATTTATATTTATATGGTATTATAAATTTTATGAGATTAAGATAAACAAGCATTGTGATGCTCTTAGAATTATATGTAGAAACGTAGCTATCATTATTTTAAATCATCTGTTCATATATTTTATTCTACATCGAATGATTATGTTTGTTTTTAAATTGATTGAGTTGAAACAGAATATATATATTAAAGAAAAATGTTTCATGAACACCCTATCATTCTTTATACTTAGAAATTGAAAAAAAAAAAAGAGAAGAAAGTAATAGGTTTATGAAAAAATATGATGTGATATGTAAGAATCATTAAAAGGGTGCATTTGTATACTCTAACTTCTAAATAAGTTTGTCCCCTAGCTCAATATTTTATGATCAATATTTTATGATAAAAACATGTTGATAAAAATAAAAATAAGTTTTTTTTCTCTCTTTTATATTATCATACAAGATATGAGTGCATTAACATGTTTTTGGTTAGAGTAAAAAAGACTTGATCTCGTTAATCAAATACTTAAATTCAAATTTCATAGACAAAAAATATATAAAAACATAACTAAAATATCATTAAATGTTGTCAACAAGATTTTGCACCAATAACAAGGTTATTAAAATAATATGGATGTAAGAATAGTTATTAAAAGAAAACAGATGTGATCATTTTGTTTTTAAAATAATCACTCTTAATTTACCTTTCTTCCATGGTTTTAATCGGGTAACCATGTAAAATTTTACAATAAGAATGCAGAAAAACTAAACTTGTTTGTCTTTGTATTGAAAAGTCTAATTAAGAGAGAAGAATCTAACCCGGAGCTGAAAAGAGGAGAAGAGCAATCCAGAAGAAGACTAGGAAAGTGAATTGATGAATGGAAATAGCCATGGCAATTAACTTGCTGCTTTCAATTAAATGTTTCTCTTGTAAGTTATAAATAGAAGAGAATATATATAAGAACATGCTATGAGCTAAAAAAACAAGAAAAATTTGCTGTGATGTCAACGTTCGGGTTTTTTTGTAGTGTTTGTGTTGTATCTGGTTCTTGTTTTATTCTAGCTCTCCCTGTATATCAAAGAAACTTCCAAACGAATATCAGATTTGAATTTAGTGCCGCCTCTCATAACGAAGTGACATATGCCAACTCCTCAGTAGAAAAGAGACAGCCTTTCTTTAAGTCCCATACATCTAGATTTAGTTTTTAAAAGAGATTCGGACATAAGTAAAAACTTTGTTAAGTCAGATAAGTGATCAAAATTGATCATTCAAATGCAAACTTCGTACTAAGTTTGAACTACTCAATATTGTTGTTACAAGTTCATCTAGATAAAAATGAAATATAATAATTTAACTAAGGAACTTAGAACAGGATTGTCTACAATGATGAATGAGAATATAATGTACTCTTTGGCGGTAGAAAAAGAAATGAAATGAAATGCACCGTTGTCTTTTGTCTATAATCACCGGTGGTATATGTAAAGAAAATGACAATCATTTCTCCCCAGATTTAAGTCTTGGTTTTCGGTGCATGTAACCATATGATATACACACTACTCTACAAGACACTAGAGGTTAATTGAAGAATTAAGTCACTGAAAGGGGTCCCTTCTGGAGGATTTCTCTCACTGTTCCATTGAATTTTAATCAAATAGAAATTTCAACTCATTTTCTACATAATTTAGTAATTTACAACCCAACCTGCACCAAGAAAAACAGGCTGATGCCATATGTATATTAAAAAGAATGAAGGATTTTTTCCTAGTGGGGTAAAACCGTCACCAAATATACTCAACTTTCCTTCGGCAATACAAGACGGTCTTGGCCTTCAATTAGCTTTGCAGAACGAATAATATCACCAGTTTTTATCTGGGGTAGAATATCTCTCCCGGTGGTTGTGTATCTGCATGTTTTAATGGCATAAAAAATACTGGAGAAAAAGTTGAAATCCATAATTGATTATTTGGCAGGGTATATAACATACCCAAAAACCGAAAATTGTCCTTCATCAAATGATATCCCTCCCAAACCAGCCTACAAAAGAGGAAAAGAAATATGAGAATACAACCAAAGGTTACGCCCAAATAAAAATTCTGCTTCCATGTTTAACTCATTTTGTTTACCAAAAGTCCAGGCAATCCTGTGAACAAATAAACATCTGCGATGGAGGTTATAGTGGTAGATAGCACTTACACTTCGTTTATCATAGAGATAGAAGAAGAACTGATAAGGTGATGAATATTCCTCAGAGGCTTCGTTATGAGCCATAGCAACTGCCCCATAAACAGATAGAGGAAGAACTGGCAGTTCTCCATCCTTCCACAAGACAGAAAACAGATGAGAACAGTATAGTATCATAAATTCCTGTAATGCCTGCTTGCCAATTTTCTTATAAACATACCTGCACACTTAATGTTGTTTTGTAAAGGGGCTCAAATTGTCCAGACGGCATTATTTCCAAGGGAACACTGTAACCACTGTTCTTATCACCTCCATTATCTGAGAGAATAGCTTGGTTGATAGAGTTGAGTTTTGCACCATTATATGCTCCATCCATCACCTAAAGGGCGGGAGTGTGTGAGAGTTGTTTCCACTAGGTTACACAATCTAAAAATCTAGATGTTTAAAGGACTAACACTTATAAATAAGAATTATATGTTGTATCAGAAAATGAGGCAAGGGCAAAAGTGGAAAAAATGACGTCTGAGAAGTTTGTTGAGAAAGTGGGACAGCTGGCAGCTAACAAACCTAAGGAGGAGCAGAAAATTAGCAAAAGGGAAAAAATAACGAATTCACGTTTGTGGGATTACGTGTGGGGACCTCAACTAAATATAGGGTCATGATGGCTAGGAGAAAGGGGGGAGTGAAGTATTCTGGATTTTTTCTTCTCTGTAATTGTTCTAACGACTTTCTTCTCTTTTGTTAAAAGTTCCACGTTACGCAAATAATACAGAGGGAGTTAATTCAATCAAATTTTGATCGTATCCTTATTTTGTTTTGTGGGATGTTCGACTTGCATTACATGGAGGTTTTGCACATATTATAGAGCTTTAAATGCAATAACTATCAAAGATAGTTTTCCCATGCCTATAGTGGACGAATTGATAGATGAATTATTTGGGGCAAAATTTTTTTCCAAGCTCGATCTAAGTTCGGGATACCACCAAATTTTGGTAAACAAGGACGACAGGTTCAAAACAACTTTTAGAACCCATCATGGCCACTATGAATAGATAGTCATGCCGTTTGGCTTGACTAATGCACCAGCCACGTTTCAATCATTGATGAATGACATCTTTCCAGAATTCTTAAGGAAATTTGTCCTTGTATTTTTTGATGATATACTCATCTACAGCTCTTCTTGGCCTGACAATTTGCAACACTTAGAGGTAGTTCTACAAAGTCTAAGGAAGCATAAATTATATGCTAAACTACCGAAGTGCTCATTTGGGTTACTCCAAATGGACTACTTAGGGCACACAGTATCAGGAACAGGGGTGGCAATGGATGCTTCCAAGGTGGCAGCAGTGTTAGCTTGGCCACAACCTACAAATTTGAAACAACTACGTGGATTCTTGGGCATTACTGGATACTATAGGAAGTTTATTTAAGGATATGCTACAATTGCTAGTCCTTTGACACAACTTCTCAAAAAGGACTGTTTTAAGTGGGACTCTCAAGCCACAACTGCTTTTGAAGCTCTTAAAGTGGCTTTAACAAATGCACCAGTACTTGCTATACCTGATTTTTCCCAACCTTTTGTATTGGAAACAGATGCATCCGGAACAGGTATTGGAGCTATTTTGAGTCAAAATAATCACCCCATAGCTTTCTTTTCAAAAAAACTCAACCCCACTTTACAAAAAAAGTCAGCGTATTCAAGAGAATTATATGTTGTCACAGAGGCTATTGCAAAGTTCAGGCATTATTTGCTTTACTTGGACATCAGTTCATCATCAGAACTGATAAAAAAAGCTTGAGAAGCATCACTGAACAGGCAATACAAACACCCGAACAACAATTGTGGTTGCATAAATTGTTGGGATATGAGTTTACAGTAGAGTACAAACCCGGGAAAGAAAACACCCATGCGGATGCTCTTTCTAGATCCTTCTTTGTGGCCTGGTCCCAACCCAAATTAGAAATCTTGTCAGCATTACGGGAAGTTATCGCTACAGATGCCACCTTGGATACGATTCAAAAAGAATGTCAACAAGGAAACCCACCTCATCCTATGTACTCTACTCAAGATGACTTGCTGTATTGGAATAGAAAATTAGTGGTGCCACCTAAACACCCCATGATTCAACAAATTCTTCAAGAATTTCACTCATCTCCTATTGGTGGACATGCGGGTATAACAAGAACAATAGCTCGAATTGCTTCTCAGTTTTATTGGAGGGAAATGAGACATGACATTGCGACATTTGTAAAGACATGTCTTATCTGCCAACAAGCAAAGGCTTTTAATGTTTTACCTGCAGGTTTATTACAACCTTTACCGATCCCAAATCAAATATGGGAGGACATTGCTATGGATTTTATCATGGGGTTACCACCATCCTTTGGCTTCAGAGTGATATATGTGGTTGTAGATAGATTGTCAAAATATGCTCACTTTGTACCATTAAAATAAAATTATTCTAGTGTGCAAGTTGCAGATGCTTTCATGAAAAATGTGGCTAAATTACATGGTTTTCCCTGAACTATAGTCTCTGACAGAGATAAAGTATTTATTAGTCAGTTTTGGATGCAGCTGTTCAAGTTGAGTGCCACCACACTAGCTATGAGCACGACCTATCACCTGCAAACAGATGGCCAATCGGAAGCTGTAAACTGTTGCTTGGAGATGTGTTTGCGTTGCTTCACATATAATAATCCAAAAGCTTCGTTAAAGTTTTTATCATAGGCTAAATTTTGGTACAACACATCCTATCATCTCAGTACAGGGTTGACTCCTTTTCAAGTTGTGTATGGGAGAGAAGCACCTTGAGTGGATAAATATGTTTTGGACAACAAGGATCCTTTGGAACTTAGGAGATGTTGCAACAAAGAGATTTGATTCTATCTCAACTGAAACACAACTTAATGAAAGCTCAGCAACAAATGAAGAAGAATGTTGATAGAAAGAGAAGGGATATTGAGTTCAACGAAGGGGATATGGTATTGATCAAGCTTCAGCCTTATAGACAAAACTCAGTGGCATTAAGAAGAAACCAGAAGCTGGGAATGAGGTACTTTGGACCATTTCCAATTATAAAAAAGGTGGGCACTGTTGCTTATAAGTTGTTGCTGCCAAATCATGCCAAAATTCATCCTATATTTCACTGTTCTCAGTTGAAGCCGTGCTATGGTGAACATATCAAACCATATATACCTCTGACCATGATGACTAATGAAGTTGGTCCACTCCTGCAACCTACGACTATTCTACAAACACAAAATATTATTAAAGGAGGAAAAGAAGTGCAACAGGTGTTAATTAAATGGGAAGGTTTGGAAGAGATGCATGCTACTTGGAAAGATTGGCTATCAGTTAAAGAAGCGTATCCGGATAGTAACCTTGAGGACAAGGTTATTTTTAATGGAGGCGGCAATGTTGTATCAGAAAATGAGGCAAGAGAAAAAGTGGAAAAAATGACATATGAGAAGTTTGTTGAGAAAGTGGGACAGTTGGCAGCTAACAAACCTAAGGAGGAGCAGAAGATTAACAAAAGGGAGAAAATAACGAATTCACGTTTGCGGGATTACATGTGGGGACTTCAACTAAATATAGGGCCATGATGGTTAGGAGAGAGGGGGGAGTGAAGTATTCTGGATTTTTTCTTCTCTGTAATTGTTCTAACGACTTTCTTCTCTTTTGTTAAAAGTTTCACGTTATGCAAATAATACAGAGGGAGTTAATTCAATCAAATTTTGATCGTATCCTTATTTTGTTTTGTGGGTTGTTCGACTTGCATTACATTATACCACATAATACAAGTTCTAATGTACAATAGAAACTAGATATTCTAAGAATGGAAATATTCCATGTTTCAATGAATCAACAAGTTCAGTCCACGAGAATTGCAATAACATTTGGATTCGCAGCTCAAACCCTCTACCTCCTTAGTTCTATTCCCTTGCAGTAGTTTCAACATCACATTAAACCTTTGTTCAAAGGCAAAGTTGTCCATTAGACTATTACCATAATTCCAGGCTGGTTTTAATTGCTGACTCTATGACATCCTAAACAACTTTCTGTGTGTAGTGATGGATCAATTCCTGCATGCATTAGAGCCTCAACAGATGTTGAAGTACTTGGAAGCTATTGTTTCTTCTCTGTTCAAACCAAGAAGCCAAAACTAAATATAAAATTCTAGACCTTGAGAAATTAAGTAGTTTTCACGAGAATACTAATTGACTGAATTATTTACAGTGATGGCAGGAAAGTTTATGAGAAATAGGACTTAATGACTAAAATTGACCATTCAAATAAAATTAGAACGTTACTGATTTGGTTCACTCAAACAACTTCAGAAATTAGAACCAAAGTGATTGAACCACCAAAAGTGATTAAGATCAAGAATGGTATACATGATGATTATTGGCCAAGAATAGCCACACGGAAAATTCACAAGGCTGAAGTACTGTTCCACTACCTTACCAGTTTTGCAAAATTTCCTGCAGTTAATGGAGCAGAGTATCCATCAATAACAACCTGAAACAAAGGTCTAACAATTAATCTTAATACCAAATTTATCAAACTGCAATTTATTTATTCTTTAAAATGCATCTGTTCTTCTTGCTAATGAATTTTAAGAGACCTGACCTGACCCACCAAATCAACAACCAATGGCTAATCACAAAGGAAAACTTGTGGAGTGAATTATACCTGAATAGTGGCAGTATTTTTCTGTTCTCCACCAACTGGAGAAAATGTCGAACCATCTCCTTTCTCAATGGTGAACTCAACAGTACCTCTCCCTGAAAGCCTAAAGGAAACGGGAAAATATTGATATTCCCATGGTTAAGTATTTAGTTTTCCTAAGGAATTGAGCTATGAGTGTTTAACTGTAAATCTTTAATTAAGATAGACTTATGTCAAATGGTCACAGTACAGTGTATTTCAATATTTATAATGGTGGAAAACTCAAATTTCCATTTCACGGATCTATGTATTGCATCAAGGTAGTGATTGACATGACTTCTTATTGGAGTCACTTACCGTGGATATTGTTGTGCATATTGCCCCGGCAACAAAAATGATAATCCTGGTGCCTGTTGCAACAATATTAAATTCAGGTTGTTGACAGATTCAGTCAAGCTTTTTGAAGAATTGAACATAACTAGACCATTGATTTCAAGATGCTATCGTTTTATCTAGTTTGCAGTTACCTGTAACAACTCTAGCTCTGCTACAGTGTCTAGTGTTGATGCAAGGTTCACAGATACTTTATCTGCATCTTGTTCCTTTATAGATTGAAGGAGAGTTTGCAAGCCACCCTGCAAAAAATTGACACATCGCATTAACTTTTACAATGAACCATAGCTACCAAATTCCATAATTGGTCAATTATAACTTGTAAGATATTTTCGTAAATTCCACCTACAAAAGACAACAAAAAAGAACTGAAAATAAGCAAAACTTGCCAAAATCCATATTCTAGTTTCTATATTTGAAACTTCTTTTCTTGCATCCAGTATTCCTTTGGATACAAGCACATGGTGTAATAGTTTCATATTAGAAACATTAACAGTAGAAAAATGTATTCATTTTGCAATGTAAGAAGTATTGTCTTAAGTATAAACCCAGAAATTATTCAACTAGGATCACCATAAAAATAATCAATTTCTTTGATATGCAAATAGCTACTCTTTTCTTCAACTAGAGGAAGGAGTTAGATCATGAATATGCAGTTTTTGAGCATACCTTTCCCTCTATTAGGGATGCATGTACCAAAGAGCCCTTTTCCTTCAGTTCTGCTGGTATACTAGCCAATATAGAATCCTTTTCATCTACTGCTATCTGATGTAAATGCGAAAATTATAAAAATTAAAGGTATTCATGTAAATAGAACAAGTCGCTATTAACAGACTAAACACAATGTTTGAGATGTAAGAAGATTTTCTACTGCAGTGCAACAATACTACAGAACTCCAAAGGCAAAATGTGAAGTTCTAAAGTACTTCAGTTATATGCCTCAACTTTTTTATCAACAAGTAACATATAGCAAGGTTTTGTTGATTACCTGGAGCTTGGAAAAACCACCAAGCTCGGATATGCGGAAATGTATGAAATTTAAAACATTTGACCTATTTGTCAATCAATAGAATGGAAGACAAAAATCTTTGAAACTTTCAGAGATGCAACATCATTACATTACCTAATAATCAGTATTTTGTTTCTCAGACAAATACAGCTAAGAACAAACGATGAAAAAAGAGGAAACAAACTAAATTATTGAATACCTTCAAAGCTTTCTTCACATTCCCCTCCATTGTTCCATAAGGTTTTCTCTGCGGAATCCTCAACAAGTACGAAATATCTTCAAGAGTGTCCTGAAAAAGACATAAACAACAGAATAAGCTGATAATTAAAAGGTTCAAAGAGCAAATAAAATCTGAAAAACAGTTCTCCTCTTATCCACATTAATCAGAATATATTATTTAGAAGTGCTGTACAAATGGGAAGCTCCTGGCTTATATAAAAATTCCTAAGCAACGTAACATTCTAATCAACAAAATGTACACCTACCATAACCCAAAATCATCTCTAACTAAATTACAATAAATTCTACAGCAAAATATTTACTTTCCAAATTCCAATATCTTCAGTAACCATATATGACTGATAACAACAGGTATCCACTTTCCGCTACTCCTCCGCCCTCTGAAATTGGTGCACGAGGGTCACAAATGCCCCAATTTACGATTCGAAATTGAAATTATTGTCAAGTGAGAGCCGGGATGAAAATCTCTATTTGTTGGAACTTTGAATTGAGGGCATGAGTCATCACAATATTTCCAACCTGGAGTTACTCCCTCACACAATCATAATCTATCTCGATATGCTTAGTCCATCCAAGGAAAACATTATTCTCTGCTATGATGGTAACATACTGATATCACAATACAACCTCATTAATAGGCCATTTGAGACCTATCCCCAAGGATGGTTTGAATTCAACAAAATTAGTTCACTAGTGACTGCTTCCATAACGATACTCTGTCTATCTTGAAAAACAGGATATGTTGCTGTAGGTTTTCCTCTTCCAATATATGGGTGATTCCTCGAGATTGACAAAGTATCCCTCACTGATTTCCGTGTGCTCAGAATAGGCGCACTACCTCAAATCACTGTCTGTTGGTAGTAATATCCCTTCCCAAGGATTGACCTTGAGATTAGGCACTAACAGCATGGCTGTCTCGAGGAGCTCTTTTTGAGTAGCTTGTGCGACTTAGGAGAACACATGAAGTAAAATAAAAGATCTTTGGATCACTCAACATCAAGTAAATTAGTCTTCCAACTAGATGTTGAAATACACAGTCATACTTCATTCCTAGCTTTCTGCTAGAGCCATTAGCTGTCCCTCTTCCGTTGAAGAATCGGCAGGTATTATGTCCAATGCATTTTTTTTGGCACCAAAATATCCTTGTTGTAACCTTATTACCTCTTTTCCTAAGAAACTCAGCACCCCAAAATCCTTGATATGGAAATGTTTTTCCAAATAACTCTTGAAGTCCAAACAAGCCTCTAAATCATTTGCCACTAGTATGATGTAATCCACATATACTAACAACCCCATGAAGATTTTGCCTTTCAGATATGCAAATATCGATTAACCAGCAAGGGACTGAACAAATCCATACATTCTCAAAACTGCTGCTAACTTAAAGAACCGTTTTGTGATGCTTGAAGATGTCCATAAATTGACTTTTGAATTCAACAAAACTTGTTATCTCCACGTGCTTTGAAGCTGAGGGGAGAAAACATTCCCTTCTATAACACCATACAGGAAAAATTGTTAACACACCTATCTAATTAAGCTCCTTCCTTGCGAATTGCTAGTGACGTGAAAACTCTAAACAATAAAAGCTGTGCTACTTGTGAAAAGGTTTCATGGAAGTCCAAACCTTCAACTTGGATGAACCCTTTTGTCCCAAGCTTGGACTTGTTGCGCTCCACCATTAAACAAGAATTGTATTCATTATATTAAGTATGAATTTTGATGGAGAATTCTATCAAAATAAGTATGTATTTTGATATGTTAAATTATTACACTTACATTAGCAAATAAAATTTTATTAGATAAGTATTTAACTAAGAATAAATAATACATGCCAGGATAACGTAATTACATTGTGATCTAACTACAATATGTCAAATAACATAAGTTTATATGCTTTTATAATAACTATTTTAAGTACGTTCCTTACGAAATCTTTACTTAATTTCTTGTCCAATTTTACCCTTAATGAAATATGTGTTTAGATTAACTAACTCGTACATTATCTCTGAATTCAAATATATTAAAAAATTTTCCACAATAACTATCTTAAGTGTACTCGTATTGAGCTGTTAATTAATTGTTTATCCACTTTTACCCATAGTGAAATACTTCTTTGGATTAACTAAGAATTCTTATGCTTTCTCCAAATTCAAATATTAAAAAAAAAAACAAAACATTATTCGAGTTTGGTAAACTAATTTTTTTTAACCATGATATTGATACTTGAGCAATGACTCTGAAGTGGCATTACCAGGATTCAAATCCCGAAGCAACTGGTTATGGGACACAAGCAGCCACATTTTGGTAAGCCAAAGTATAAGTAAACTTCGCCTAATTTAACCCTATTTAATGTTTTTATTCGAAAAAAATGCATTCAAGTATGAGCACCATTTGAGGGAGAAATGATCAAGGGTTGTTTATTATGAAATCTAGTTTTTTTTTTTTAATATAGTGTAAAATTTGGTGTTTTGCTTAAATTGGAAGTGATTATCTTTTAAAGAAAAGAATGCAATGTACTACTTCGTTATCACTAAAAAAAGATGAACCAGACACGGTGTTAATCAGGCAGACCTGTATAGTCTTCATGTTAGCATTGGCAGGGATGGCTCTCCTGAGAGCAACCTCCCCCGTCCTGGGAACCTTCGTATCCGGCGAATACAAAACCGCTTCAGCAGCACCAGGAGACGCAACGTAATCGACCAACGGCACCAAAGCGCTAATCTGAACCGACGCAATCATCATGGGGACCACACTCCTCAACCGTTCCATTATCCTCTCCACAACACTCACCGACGTGGCACGCGTCGTGTCTCCCACCGCTTCCTGCACCATCACCAAAATACGCTTCAGCAAAACCCACACGTGCTAAACGTGGCATTGCAATTGCAATGAGCGTGGTTATGATGTGACACCTTTGCGATGACGTGGCGGCGATGCTTCTTGGAGAAGCAGGTGATTCGGCTACGAGTGAGGGAAAGGTTTAAGGAGGGAGAGAGAGGGAACGCCATTGAAGCGAACAAGAAAGGAATGATGGTGGGAGTGCGCGCCTAATGCCTAATCTGATGTTGTGTGGAAGTGGAGGAGTCAACATGCGCCAAGTGTAGCCGTTGATGTGGGATTACATTTCTACCCTCCCTTCAATGTAATGAGGAAAAAGTATATTAAAATTTAGGTCCCACCGAGATTTGAACTCGGGTTACTGGATTCAGAGTCCAATGTCCTGACCACTAGACCATGGGACCATTTGCTATATGCATTCAATTATTATATTAATGTTAATATATTAATCAAATTTAAAATTTAAAATTTAAAATTTAATTTTTGGACATCTGATAATCACTTCTTTAGTTATATCTATATATAAAGAGGATATTATTGATATACTATTCTTAAAATAGAGTAAGGTTCCTTTGGATAAAATAATTTTCAAAATTATTTATTCACGAATCTTGTAACACATAATATTACATATAGAATAAGCACAACATCCCATCAACTTTGACATCTATTTGATACAAAGCATTATATATTATTCAGAAAATAATTTTACAATAAAATAATAATATTTATAGATAATAATAAAAGAATGAAAATAATAAGGAAGAAAAAGAAGTAATAATAAGATTTAAAAACATTTAAGGTGAATACAAGAATAGATTGTGTTATTTTTATACTTAATAAATCAAAAAGTTCTAATAGGAAAAGCCTTGGCCATGTTTGCCCCTAGATAACACACCCTTTCACATCTCTTGATAATTTTTTATTTGGTAGTTGCAGAAACCTTATCACAAATTATGATCACAGGCTGTATAATCGAGAATATTCCAAAGAAGATAATCTCCCCACAATAAATGATTTTTGTTTGCATCTTCCTCTCATATTCTGGACTAAAAATTTGTTCCCCACACCCAAAATCAGGACTTAAAAAGCACATGTTAAAACAAATTGGTTATTTGAATGAAGTATAGTTGATTAATCTCTCAACACATGGCTCATTTAAGAGAGGCACAATCACATGCATCATGTGCTTCTGGGGAAGCTTACCATTATTATATTCGATATCTCACTGAATGATTCAATGAGACAGAAGAAGAAATGCAGTTAGTTCAATTACAAAGCATAACACAAACCCAATCTTTAGTGGTTATTGATTAATCTGTGGTGGTAGGTCCAATTTAGCACACTACATGTTCTTCGTAGTGAAGCTTATAGCTACAAATTATTGTAAGTCATTGTTCTAATAACTATGATTACGCATGTACCCAAACACAATACAAAACTGAAAACCATTTACAAGATAAACTATATCTAACCCTACTCATTTGGATGGTTCGACTTTGCCTCCCCAATCAAGTAGTACTTTTCTTCCCCTTCGTAACATCATGATGGTAAAAACAAAAAAGAAAAACACTTAGACAAAAATACAAAATGGTTTTTTGTTCACTGTCTTATGATCGTCACTATCAGTATCGGTAAGAAAACCCACATCAGCAGAATCTCCAATCCAACCTAACCTCAGGTGGGCCATGAACGTGGTGAGTGGGCTTCCTGAACGACACGACGTGGCTGCTAACCATGAACGCCGTCACACGCTCGCTCACTCTTATGTCTTCCATTTTCATCTCTTGCAACCGCCGCACGTACTCCGGCACGTGCACAAGGTCCCACACCACCCCAATCCCACCCTCCTTTAAAACCCTCACCACCTCCGCCACCGCTCTCCCCCTCTCCGCCGTCGCCACCTCCTCCCTGTGCCCCCTACCCACCGTGTGCACGAACATGCCGGACATCACAACGTTGAAACTGCCGTCCGAAAACGGTAATCTTGTGGCGTCGCCTGTCCGGCATGTCACGTACTCCTCCACTCCCTCAACCTTAGCCGCCCGAAGTGTCGCCGCTAACTCAGCCTTATTCGGACCGCTTAATCCAATCACCCGACCCGATCCTCCTTCCTTTTTCAGACGGGCGGCGACGGTATTCAGTAAAATGCCGCGGCCGCAACAGCCTAGGTCAAGCGCTAAGCGCACGGTTGACCAGTCATTGACTGCGTCCACCATGCGCTGCGCCATCTCAGAATGGAGAGGCACTGCAGAGTAGAAAAAGTTCGCCGCCGCGTAGAAGAGACAGAGTGCGGAGAGTGCCGTGACGGAGCCGGTAAACCCAGCGGCGAAGCGGGCTGCTCCGCCGTGTACGGCGGCGATGGAGAGAAGGGTCTCGAAAACGCTGGAGATTTGGTTGAAGTAGCGAAGGTAAAGCACTGAGAGAAGTGAGAAGAGAATGGCTTGACAGAGAAGGAAGACGAAGGTTTGGCACTGATCCATTCCGTAGATGAGGTAGATCCGTGTCCATTCTCTGCTTGATGTTTTTCCCATTCTTCGAATTTGATTCTGCAATTCACAGAAAATGTTTCGGAATTAGGAAACGCGTAGAAAATTAAATCAAAAGAACAATATCCTTAATTGAGCCGAAAAAAGGAGACAGAATTCTAGGAGTGTGTGGCGTACAGATACGGTTTGGTCGTACGAAGTGGAAGGTTTGGATTTTCGAAGGTTTATTAGACGTTAATGGTGGCTGTGGCGGTGCATCAAAGAGTGCGATGCCATTTTTGTTGAAACAAACTCACAATGATTCCAGGTTTTCCGTTTTCAGCTTCAGAAAGCGAAGCTATGTTGCGAGAGGAAACGAGGGAGAGAGATTACAATGTTGTTTAGTGGATGAAGGTTGTGGTGTTTTCAAGTAGATGATTGATTATTTTATACTGTATTTATAATTTATATGTAGACATACGGCATACGATTTCGAATATGCATCAACTGATTTATTATACATACTAATTTCATGTATTTATAATTTATATTTATGAAAAGGTAATTTAATTTTATTCAAACTTGAAATGATTTTTTCTTTTAATAAACGTTTTTCATGCATAAGTTAACAAAGATAAACCACAAAACAACGTGAAATTGATTAATCTCCGCAAATCATGGGGACATGAGATTTCAAAATTGAAGTCAGATGCATTCGCAATTAATTGGGGTTGGAAAATGGAGATTGAAATTTTGACTCCATTTCCACCATTCTTGGCCTTTGTTAGACATTAAAACTCAAATTAAACTCAAAGTGTGAAAACCCAATTAATATTTAAATTCATTTTGAGTAAACCAACCTTTTTAATCCAACCTCATCATCACAATTCTCAGCCTTAAATGTAGTGTGCATGATTGAGTGGTTAGCATATGCCAGTTCTAAAACCTTAGGTTTTGTTTGGTTGGAGTGATTTGAGAGAGTGAAAATGAGAGAGTGGAAAATGAGGGATTTGAAGAGAAATGGAGATAAAGTTAAAGTTGTTTGGATGAATGGAAAGTGATAGTAAAGTTTATGGGAAATTGTGAATGATTTGATTGATATGAGATATAAAAATTATAATTTTAATTGATTATTTAAAAAAATTACCATTTTACCTTTTGTATAAAATAAGGTTCAAATGATTATAAATATAATTTTTTAATTAATTATCCATATTTTAACATTGATTATATATTTAAAAGAAAAAACAAATTTAAAAGTGTTTGTAATTGGAAACAAATTTAAAAAATTAACTTTTTTTATATAGTTATTAAAAATTATATAAATAAACAATTACAAAATTATGTACATTGCATATCCATATTCAAATAATGTTGACATATTAAAAAATAAATTTTACTAATAATTAAATAATTATAAAATATAAAATAATAATTAATATTGATCTGATAATAACAAATAATTATGAAAACTAATAATATAATTGTACATTATTATTTAAAACAAATATAAAATACAAGTGAAAATAGAATAATAATTAAAGGAAAGATTACTAAAATTATAAATCTATGCACACTAATGCTCTTCAAACAAATAATTATCATGTTATCCATCTTTTGCAGTCAAGTCCTCTAGTTCAGATCATTCAATCACCTCCATTCAAGAACATGAACAACTGGGAGAGACGAAGATGTGAGGGCAAGCCAAAAAGTCGTCTAACATGTGATGGGTGAGTACACAAATGATTATAACACTGAAGCATAAGTTGCTCGTCATTTAGGTTCATGCCGACTAACATGTCCCATATATCTGACTCCGAATGTTGAAATGTTGATGATCGTCTCATCACATTAACTTGCTCATTAATTAAATCATTTCTGCGTTCAATGGCGACCACCTGTCTTTCAGCTATGTCAGATAATCGTTGGGTGATTGTATTACCTTGCCCGAGGTAATCTGTAAATGTGTCCAGCCTCGTTGTTAGTTTTTCAAATTGACCTTCCATCACATCAACCATAGGCGCTTTTCTTTTTGTGCCCCGAGATGAAGAGGTTCCACCTGAACCAGTAGACGCAACAGATGGAATTGAGTGAGCACCCTCAGCAGGACTGTCGGAACCCATGCGTGGAGGTGATCGATAAGCTGTATCAAATCCTGCATCAAAGCCAAAGTGAAATGGCTGCTCCTCTGGTGTGGGGTCCACATCAACGTTCAAGTCGACTGTTGCCCTTTGAGAACTGATATTCATTCGGGCCTGACGCGAAGTTCTTGCCATATGTCCAGTGGCTCGATCAGCACCCCACAATTCTTCCATCAAATCATAATGTCTTATAGTTGACAGTTTCCATTTAGCTGCAGAAGGCTTCGCCTACAAAATAATGAGAATGGTTAACACTCGTAATTGTTATGTTTTGCTATATCAACAAATGATAATTCATACAATAGTACCTTAATTAGGTCATCCCATACTTCTTGCTCAACCACAAACCGTTTTGTGATATCCCAAGCGAATCCACTAAGTCCATGAAACAAATCGTGGACCTCCCGCCATCTATCCTTAAGACTTTTTTGTCGATTTTTAACATTATTTTTAGTTATACCAATTAATCCTGACTGTCTTAGGGATTCAACTATATTATTATATGCTTGGGTTGTCCAACTACCATCAACCCGATTACCCAACCTTGCCTCATCAAGCATAGCAGTCAACAACCGAAAGTCCATGTCATCAGTCCATTTTGTAAACTCACGCACTACAGGTGACGAATTCGGTGCAATATCCTTTCCTCTGTTCATTTTAAACCTATTGGAAAGATAATATATGTAATTACGATACCAACATATAATTATTATAAATAGATAATCGTAATGTATGAAAGTGATACTAGCAAAGATCTCAGTGATTTGATGAAGTCAAAGATAAAAAGGTCAACTCTGCAACAGTCAAACAAGTCACTCAGAAGAATGGAGCTAAAGACTTAGTGTGTCTTATCAGAAAGCTTAGGTAAAACCACTTTACCTTTTTCCACTGCATGAAGCTCCTTCACTCAATTTGCAAAATGCCTCAAAAATAGTTTTAAACAAATCAAACAAAAGCATTTTGACAAAGAACTTTCTTAACAATGTTTTTAACTGATATAGTTTTAAAAGAAACAATTAAAATCACTTAGAATACGTAAAGAAGTGTTTTTACAGTATTTCAATCGATATAAACTTCTTTTAATCGATTAAAACCCTTTTATGACCGATTAGAATTCGAATATGACAGGTCAGAATGAAATATAATCAATCAGACTTTAAAAATGAGCGATCAGTTTTATTTTAATCGATTAAAACACGTTTTAATCGATTGAAACCACTTTGGAAGTCAGGATGATCGATCAGAATGAAATTATGACCGATCAGAGTTGGTTATGATCGATCAAAATTGAATTATGACCGATCAGACTTATTTCAATCGATTAAAACGAACTTTCAATCGATTAAAAAGACTTGAAAAGTTATGTACAGATTTTCAATCGATTAAAACGACTTTATATCAGCTAAAATAACTTAGGAAAGTTTTATAAGAAGGTTTTTAAGCAAATCAATCGATTAAAACGCGAATCAATCGATTGAATCACTCTCAGAAAATGTTTGTAAAATGTTTTAATTGATATAAACATGGTTGTATCAACTAAAACCATTCTGTTAAAGAAACAAGAACGCATTAATGGGTTGAAAGGACTTTTAACAGATTATAACGGCTATTTCAACATATTAAAACAAACTTTCAACAGATTAATTAAAGCAGCATATTTGAAAATTCTCTTTAAAAACAGTTTTGCTTGAAACTTTTAAACATAGATTGAACATCAGTTTTTACACATCCAAAGCAATCAATTCAAGCAACTATTAAGCAATCAATTCAAGCAACTATTATCAGATTTGATAATCTATCCACATTTGATTTGCTATAGTATCTCTTAAGTTTGACCCTTCCCTATAATCCTCTTCCCGAACTTGAGTCGACATATTATCCACATCTTGTTCCATCAACTCTCGATCCACTTCAGCTAACAGTGATTCATCGTTGTCTATCCCTCGAAGAAAATTGTGTAGAATGCAACATGCTAGGACTATATTCGTCATTGTATCAAATGAATAATGAGGCTCTGTTCCACTAGCTATTATAGGAAATCTTTTCTTCAAAACTCCAAATGTTCTTTCAATGACATTTCTAAGAGACGAATGTCGATGGTTAAACAATTCTCGGGGGTTTTGTGGAGCTCGTCGAGAATACTCTTTAAGGTGGTATCTAACGCCTCGATAAGGGGTCATTATGTTTGCTTTTAACATAAATCCAGCATCCCCCAAGTAGTATTTACCTATTTAAAATCATTGAAGTTATACTAATTAGAATATTTAAACTAGTTGACTATACACAAAATCCGCATGTTATAAATAATAAACCTTGTGGTATGATAAGGCGATCCTCTCTCGTAAGAACATCCTTTAATATTCTTGAATCAGATGCTGTTTCTTCCCACCCTGCTAGAACATATGTGAATTTCATGTCGAAATCACAAGCTGCAAATACGTTTTGTGTTGGTCAATCTTTTCTTCCACGAAAACGAGGGGCATCTGATCTTGCGACTTTAACTCGAACATGAGTTCCATCTATTGCCCCTAAACAATCCTAATGGGTAAAAAATTTATTGTCATTAAAGTTTAGACAATCTATGTGTATGTTATGTAGACACAAAGTTGGTAAGTACATTACCTTAAAGTATGGGTAAAATCGGTTGTTGCTTAATATATACGGACACACATCCCTTCCTGATGGTTGAACAATTAATTGTTCGTCCAACATTATTATCGCATTCAACACGTTATGACTTACCTCCTTATGTCGTGTTTAGAATATATAATTTGTCAAATGATCAAGATTTTAGATAACGGTTCCAGTAATAACCGCTATTACAAATATATATAAGATAGCGGTTAAACTGGACCGCTATTATATATACACTTTTAAGAGCGGTTACAAAGATAACCGCTCTTAAAAGTAACCTGTGATAGCGGTTATATGTTAACCGCTATCTAAAGTTTTCAAATGATTGATTATTTTGCCAAAATGATAGATCACTTTTCCAAAACCTCGACACTTAAGATAGCGGTTCACCTCGAACCGCTATCATATGTTCACATCTGATAGCGGTTCCAGAATAACCGCTATCTAAAGGCTCCAGAATTTGAATTTATTTTAATGTATAATTATTATATATATATATATATACATATTCTAAAATATAATTTATATTAATTACTGTAATATAAAATATATATTCCACAATATTACTAAAATTTATATATATATTATAGAAATGAAAATAAATTATATTTGAGAATATATAATTTTGATAGAAAATTATATAGATATATATATTCTAAAATATAATTTAAAATTTTGAATTCTGAAAGGTTTTCTCTAATAACAATTTAAAAAACATAATTTTCAAAAAAATATTTTAAAATTCAGTCTCGGGTTGTATTTCGCTCGAGCGATTATACTCGCTCGAGCGAAATACCATCCTGATCGATCATAATTTCAAATGATCGATCATAATTGGAAGATATCATAGCGGTTCCTCAGTAACCGCTATTTAAAGTATATATTAGATAGCGATTATGGTTTAACCGCTATTACAAGTTGTATTTCGCTTGAGCGACATTAAACTCGCTCGAGCGAAGACACCTGCACATAATTTTCATTCTCGGGTTGTTTTTCGCTTGAGCGAAACTGATCTCGCTCGAGCGACATCCACATTTTTCGATTATGATCGACTACATTTTCAAATTATCGATCATATCTTAAAATATATAATAGCGGTTAAGATTTAACCGCTATTAGAATTGTTATATAATAGCGGTTAAGTTTTAACCGCTATTAGAAGTGTTCTCATACAGGAGATGGAGAAGGGTAAATAAGTTATTTACTATTTGATGATGTGTCTTTCTCTGCTATCCTCTCAAATCCTCTCAAATCTTCAGGGTGAGCTTTCCTCCCCTCTTCCTCAAATCCGCGCCTGCAAATCCTCTCAAATCACTTGCAACAAATGAATTGAATCTCTCATTTCTGTCTTCGTGAACAGTAAATCAGTTCAAACAAACACAAGGCTAAATAAGTGGACAATTTGTTTTTTAAATAATATAAATTAATAATAATTAATATTATGCAATTATATATTTTTTATTATACACAAAGCTAAATTGTTATAAAACAGTAATCAATAGATTTAAATATATAAAATTAGGAGAATAAAATAAAAAATTTAAATATTTAATAATAATTTTAACAAAACCATATATATATGACTGACTAGACGATAATCATAATGATTGACATGATGGGATCATAGGTTCCATTAATGAATTTTATTAAACCTTTATCACTTCACTAAAAATATATATTTATAGAAAGTTTTTGCTTTTTTCTTTCTCTCTACTCTACTCTTCTCTTCTTCTTCTTTTTTTGTTACTCAGCCTCTATTTAAATTATAATGAAAAAACAATCAAATTCATAACTTGTTTTCAATTCAATTTAACTAAATTTATTTAGGATTAATTCAATTTTTAAAACTAAACTAAAAGGGAAGTTTCAGTTTTTCAAGCAATTTGGTTTAAACCTTATTTTAAATATTTTGTTCAAGTGGGGTTGAATTCAATTTTCTTGAGTAAAAATTAATTTTCGAGTATTATAGATGAAAAAAATGTAGTTAAAAAAAACTCTATTAAAGATGGTTAGTGAATTGTTTTTGTCAAAATCAATTATGAACAACAAATAACATATATTTTTAATAATGATATTATTATTAATAAAAACTAGTATTGAGAAGTACTGGTTCAAAGAATCTTGCCACTATGAACAGGAATAAAGGGAAATCTTTATTACTTTAAGAAGATTTATTTAATTAATTTAGTGATTCAGCTTCAACTACGCCATGGATGAAGCTTTGTCCACCAAAGTGTTGAATCAAACTAATGAAGCTTTTGTTCACGAAATACTTTTTTTCATTAAATTAAATCCTCTGTCGGGACATAAATCTATGAACAAATTAATTTTACAATAGAAATGTGACATGTAATTTATATTATTCACAAGAATTGATTTTGATACCTGGTTAGTTTAAGAATTTTATAGTATCAATTAACGTATTAATAATTATTGTGTATATGATTTTTTAATTAATTATTTAGATGTGAGTACTTTTGTACATGCTATTATTAACACTCTTGTTCCAGAAAAAACTAATCTTACATCTTGTAAAGAATATCTCAACTCAAGTTTTTATATATGGTAAAATTTATTAAAGATTACTAGTTAATTTTCTAACAAATTTAGATTATTATTAAAATTGATATATGTATATATATATATATATATATATATATATATATATATATATAACATATTGCATAAATTTATATTAGGTAAGATAAATATATTCTTCATATAGTAATTATGAAAAAATTTATATTTAATATAATTAAAATATTTTATTTTTTATATAATATTAAATACTCTGTTATGATTTTAATTATCAATGTTAAAAGTAGTTAATTTTATGTTATGTAAACAATAAAGAGATGTATTATATTGATAATTGTGATTTTAGTTGTATGAAAGTTTAATTTTATAGAAAATTATTTGACTAATAGCATGTATGTATCATTAGAGTAATATAGTTTGAAAGTTTCTCTTCTCTGATAAATTTTTAACAATATATGATAAATTGTTTTCATGGAATAACATTTAGATTTATATATATGAATATATATATATATATATATATAATTTAATAATTTATATGAAATAAAATTAACTATTTTGTAACGATAATGATTAAAAAAATGATAATGATTAAAAATTGATAAAATAATTAATAATATATGAAAATTAAATAAATTTTAATTATAATAAATATAAATATTTATCGTAATAGTTATATAAAAATATTTTTTATCTTATTATAAATATTGTATCATATATTTACAAAATCAATGCATTTTAGTGACTTAAAATATATTTAGAAACTTAAAGAATTTAAATAATTATGAGGAAATTGAATGCTTTGTAAGACTAATGTCATAAAGATTTTTCTTTTAGAAAAAAAAAACATTTTGATACTTTCATGAATTAATGTTAATAATAGCATATTAAGTTAGAATAATAATTACATGTGTGAAAAAAAAACATATTTCTCATGGAAATATATATCCTTTATGTACAAAAGAAATCAACACCAAGAAAATTTTTCACAGATTCAAGACTGAAAAGGAAACAATATATATCAATTATATTTGATTGTATTAGAAGAAGGTTTCATAAAAATTGATTAAAGAAATAGTGTGATATTCAAAGTGAAACCGAGCATGCATCAATTTGAAAGCTACCAAAATACACAAGACTTATGTTATGATAATCAAACCTAACTTTGACTACAATGTTTTTCACAAATAAAGACTATGTTTATTTATCAGAATCATATCCAAACCTAAGTTTGACTACCATGTGTTTCATAAATAAGGTATCTGTTTATTGATAAATATTTAACAAAAATATTGAAATTTATTTTAAAAATAAAATATAAAAAATCAAAAGTCAACTTTTATATAGAAAAGATTATAAGTCAACTTTATACTTTAAAAAGTATAGAATTGTCATTTGATTTTTAGTATTTTCCTATTTTCAGAAACATAAATCTTCATTTAAAATTAATAATATAATCTTCATTCTTATTTTAAGCTATTGATCCTGATAAATATTTTATTTTTTTAACCATTACATATTTTAAAAAATTACATAATTTAGATGAATATCTTCTAAAAGAAATTTGACCCTCCTCTTAAACTATTCATACAAATAAAAATTGTTACTTATCTATTTAGTTTGAAAATAAAAAAGATATACTTACAAAAACATTCACATTGTTTGACCTTATTTCCTATTTTTAGAAGTTTATATAACAATGACAACAAAAACTAAAAACTAAAACACTATAAAAGTTATTTTCATTATTCCCTATAATATAATATGCTATGAGTATAGTGGAAAGGTAGCTAACTACTTTGTCTACAAACATGCATTGCAACTTTGTGGAATGAAAAACAGAGAAAAGAAAAAAATGATTGAAAAAACATGATCCAGGTTGCCTCAACCAAAATTTTGCCTCATTGATAGAAGAGAGGAAGACTCATAAATTTGAGGAGTCCCAGCTAGCATAAACAGCACCTATAAATTTTTCATGCAAAGTGACACCAGAGCATGCAATTATGCCTCTGTCAAGACCTTCTAAGTACATTCCCTTGGAGAAGTCCAGAGGGCGTCCTCCAGCGTCAGTTACCACACCACCAGCCTCCTCAACAATCACAACACCGGCAGCATGATCCCATATCTTCTCCTTGTAGCTGCACTTTGCGAATTTCATGAATATCTCTGCATCGCCACGTGCTATTGCTGCGTATTTTACCATGCTGTGCACTCGCAAAGGCTGCTTTCTGCAACAGGTTTTAAGAGGGGAGAGTGATTCAATTCCAGCAATGGTGTTCCAAAGAGAAAAATTAAAATAAAGATAAATATGTTATAAACTCAGGTCCAGCTTTGAAAGAAGTTGCAAACAAGGAATTTTGGAGACTAGAAACTTGTTTGAACCTTCTAATGATTGGACTAAATCAGGCTGCAAGTAAAATGCCTTGTTCTTAACTCCTTTTTAGGAAAAAAAAATTAAAGAATTAAACCTGTCAGCTTTTTTTTTCCTTAGAAGCCACTTTAAAGATAAGTTCAAAATAAGAGTTTAAAAACTTTAAAAGTAAAAGTTTTGTTTCTATGACTCATCAGGTAGATCTGGTCTGGATGAGAGGGAAGGAGGTCAAAGTGTGCAGTTTATCTTTAAATGCTATCTCAGTTTTTTTTTTTCTTTTATAAAAGATAAACTTCATTTCAGTAAGAGTTTTTTCCTATATGTGTCTAGCCTGACTCCTTTTAAGAAGAAATAAAACTAAAGAGTTAATAAGCCAAGCACCACCTCAATTTAATAATTCAGTTCTAACTTTCCAATGTTTGCAGTAAATATATATATATATATATATATATATATATATATATATATATATATATATATATATATGAAAGACAAACCAAATTCTATGATTGGTAGATCTGCAAGTTACCAAGAAATTTTTCTGCTCCTTATAATGTCCATTGAAGTACCAAGAATTACAATGCTTGGTTTTTGTTTATATTCTCCTCACTACTTATAATACTACCTTTCAAACTGACTATTTTTTTCTTGTGCTTAACCTATTGTTAGTCCAGAAATGGTTTCTGTCATGGCAGTTGAATCTTAGTCCTTTTAGCATCCTTATGTTCTAATGCACTTATATGGAAGTATTTTCAGTCTCAATCAATTAGTGAATGAAATAGGTCCAAATTGTGGATATTTTGATAGAAACAAGGAGAAATATGCATACTTAAGTCCCACACTATGAGCAAGTCCAGCTGTGAATGAATGGTTTGAGTTTGCCCGTTCCACCGGCTCACAGAGTGTTGCCAATGCCGGATCATCAATTGAAGAAACACGAATAAGTCTAGCACGGTTTGGCCATTCTAGCATTTTCTCTCCATCAATCAATGACTGCAACCATGCCTCACCACTGCCTCGTTTTGCATACAATACGCATCCTTTTCCCCCGGTATCAGGAGTTGTTAGAGATGATTGTGGCGTTGTTTGGTGATGCTGGTAATGATAATTAAGCCACTCTGTCTTTACTGGGTAGTTAGGACAGCCAAGAACTCCAAGAACAACTTTTCCATCCTCAATCAGAGCTAGAGCAACAGCATACTGATCCCCACGTACAAATCCTAATGTGCCATCAACAGGATCAAGTACCCAATATCTTCCACTGGGGCCTCCAGTTGAGTTGCAACGGGCAATGGCCTCAAGAATTTCAGATGATCCTAGAGTTGTCTCTGGACTTTGAAGACCGTACTTGGATGCAAAAGCTAAAGACTCATTCACAGTGTTCACAACATCTTCCAGCAAGCCTGCTGATTCATCCTTGGAGATGGTTTGTATGTCTTCCTCGGCCACAATTGACACATTTTGAACTCCGAATATTTCGGATAGAAACCAACTAATAGTTGCTTGAACACTAAAGTCTTCTCATGCAGAGATATGAAATGAAATAACCAGTCAATTAACAGTAAGCAACATTTGCACCAGAAAATAAAAATAAAAATTGAGCATCATGCATGAATGACTTGACAAGGATAAAATGGAGCATAGTAGAGTAAAATATGCCAATTTCAAATGTGACTGACTTGTTTCAGGGATATAGGAAAATAAAAGTTCCCATATTTATGAAGTGCCATATAAAAAAGGGTTATATGACAAGTTGGATATTGGATCTAGATAATCACAGCAAAACTCACAACTTGAAAATGACAAGTTAACACTCAAACATTGCCAAATAATATGCTAAATCAAAGTAAACTACCAAAAACTCTAAATGTTGGTCCTGCTGACTTTATATTTTAACTAAAAACACATTTAAACTCTACAGCTGCAATGTAAATATGATTTACACCAACTAGAAACCTTACATGAAAAATAATGTACACTGCCAAGAAAACAATGTGGCACTGGCACCACGAGATGAACTAATGAAGGGAAAGACACATTATGTTTGCAATATTTCCAAAGAGTAAATTGTGAGTCATATTCAATAATGGATTTTCTTTTGCCAAAGATCATACCTTGTTCTAAACATAAAACAAACCTCCTGATATTATATAATCTGTGACAATCTGTGACAGAGTGTACCTTGGCTAGGCCTACTGTGCAATCTGTGACAATTTTTGTACTGCTGATTTGAATTTCTTTCAAACAGAAAAAGTTTCTCTGAAATTTCAATTTATCCCAACAATCTAGATGCTTCCTACTACTGGATGCACAACTCAAACAGTTGATTCCATCAGAATCAATGATTTGTTTGAAGACAGAATGCATCCAAACAGGGGGTGGTACTTTTACTATAATTACTCTGTCTTCATATGTGATGAAAAACTTATATATATTGAATAATTCAATCCTGTTGGATGATTATGGAGAAACTAATACGTTCAGCATTTATCCCATGTTTATAAGAGGACAGATAAAAAGAAATAAGATGGGGCTGACAAACAAATGGGCTATGCAGGGAAATGCAAAAATAGAAGGTGTGACATGCATATCGGAATATCCACACGGCAAGAGAACATTGGAGTGGAATATTCTGTCATGATGGGAAAGACAGTGGAGGATGTGTTTATTGGGTGAGAAATTGGTCAGGCATTTGCCTTGGGGACAGAGGTTGCATCTTGCAGCTCTGGTTGTTATCTTCTTTTCTGCATTGCCATTTTCTATTTTGTCTAGTTTCTTTCCTAAGCAAGAGTCATACTACCGCGGTAAAGAGTTTCTCCTAGAATATCATCTATTTCCTTTTATATACTACCACTTTGTACCACAATATATTTTTTTCTTTTGCATTAAAATGTTAGAGTGCGCATTGCAATGGATAAGTGAGTAATCACACTAGAAACATTTAAACTAGGCCAGAATGCTTGTGTCAATTAACAAATAGCTTATGCACTTCTGATATTTATGGATATATATCTGAGAACAAGAAACCATCATACAGATTTGGTGTAAACTTAAAATATACAAGTACAAAAAATTCACATAATTTCAACCACCAATCTAGATTTATAACTAGTGTGCATCTGCACACACAGAGTATATTTATATCTCAATACAAATGATGCCACAGCGTAAAATTTTTGGTTTGAAATAAATCATTAATATAAAAACATCTATGAGTTTTAACCTGACAAAAGTTGTTGATAACTAGTTCATGACATAGTATCATAGCCTCTATGATGTAGTGAGGAGTTTAATACTTACTGTCCTCATTCTTCAAAATAAAAGTTTAATTTGAGTATAAGTTAGGTAGGCTTATGCATTGTCCAGACTTCAAGTCTGAAGGGCTCTTTGAGAGGGAATGTGTTAAATATAAAAACAAACATGATCTTTAATATGACAACTTAAATTTTAGACACAGCTGAAGCTTCTCAACAACTTTAATGGAAAAGTTCGCCCACACCTATAAATAAAGAAACAAATACTCAAGCACAAGTGAATAATGTATTTTTCAATAAAAGTTGTTTTACATTTTATGGTTCCTTACCATGGCCATAGAAGCCTACTTAGTTTTTTAGAACATATCAAGTTAGATGAACATGCGGGTGCACGTGGATGCTGAAATCGCAAGTATGCCACCATTGACAAAGGACTACAACAGATGGAGATATTCTTTAACGATGCAAAGATCAAATGAATGTATCAAATTATGGCCACAAATAATGTGATATCAGATCATCTACTTAAGAACTAGAATTCATCAACAAAGAATAAAGAAGAAAAAACTTCATGTAATTTAAATTACCCACCAAAGAGTTTAATTCACTACAAAAACATAAAACTTCTCTGGATTAAAATTGAAACTGGTCCATCGCAACGCACTTGAATACTTTACAAAGCCAGGAGAAAATTTTCCCAATCGCACGTAAATCCTCAAGCTACATTACTAATGGAAGATCTCAATTTCACAAAATTCGATGCAAACTGGGTCATCCATTACTTCACCATAGTGATATAACAAAGATTTTCACAACCCCATCTGATTCCTCACACCAAAACACCAAACTTCCCAGCAATTACCAAACAATGATTCAAATGCACACCTCCCCATTCCCCAAAACCAAAAAAGATCACACCCAACACCAATTATTAAATTCATAACAACCCCATTATTAAGAAGACAAAAAAAACGGAACTTGTTGTTATTCAAATTAAAATTAAACACAAATACCTGCAACAGTAACAGGAGAATCATCATCCTTGGACACAACGTGATCATTGCTGGTCTCAAGGAGCCTCTCCTGCACCCTCCCACACAGAGCACACGCCACGTGGACCACCCTCACGGCCACCTCCAATTCCTTGGCGTACTTGTCTTCCTCCATAGCCAAAAAAGTCACAGACTTGGGATGAGAATCAGAGGATTCTGACGTGCCCACCTCGTTAAAAGGGGAGAAGGGAAAGCGAAACTCGAGTAGAGTCTCCTACTTTATGTGTTTTGCCACACACAATGGCATCATTTCCCAAAGCGAAAAGTGAAAGTGAAACGTGGGGTGGCCCTTTCTCGGAGAAAAAGATGAAACGAAACACGACCAAAGTGGAGTTTCTGGGATTTAGTTTCTCGGAATTGCACCCTCTCTCCATGATAAAATATAACAAAAATTATATGCATCTTATGTTATGAACTAAATATCCTTTCTTTATTTTGTCTCCTCTTTATAATCCAATCCACCTTTAAACCTTTAATCTACTTACTAAACACTTTCTCCTATTTAATACAAAAATATTATCTTATCCTCATTATTTTAAATTATCTTTCTATATACAGTTTTTAACTATTTTTTTTATTTTTAAATAAATTGTCAATAGTCTAAAATAACTTAGTATTTCTTACAGGGAACAAAGTATTTTTAGTAGATTTATTTTTTTATTAATTTAGTTTAACTTTTTTATTTTCAAATTGATCAAATAGTAATTGTCACAACATTTAAATATATATCAAATTTACATATTTTTTAGGACTAATTTAAAATACAACAATCAAATCAAATTTGATAGAAAGAAAAATTACTTCTTTTTTTCATATTATACATTCAAAGTTTTCTTTAAAAGGACAATCTCATTCAAGTTGGCAAAGATCACTTAAATTATAAAGTTTTATTATTAAATATTATTCGTTAAAATATTTTTATACTTTTATTATCATAGATCACATGTTTTCATCAGAAGCAATCTTATCCATAGATAAGATTTCTCATATAACAATTTTTTTTTTCAAAACATTATACATAGTTAATAATTTTTTTTTCATATTGTAGTTAATTGAAACAACGATAAATAATTGTTTTTTAATCAAACATAATTATAAATCTAGAATTCGAAATTAAAATCATAGATAATCTAATTGCTTCACTTGTTTGATTACAAATTAATTTTATATTATAATTTACTTTTTATTATAAATAAAATTGTAATTTATACACAGTATAATGATACGAATCCACCTCTTTTAATGCATCACGTTACTTATTTGTTGTACGCCAATAAGATTAGACTTTAGAACAGTGTACATGTTATTCAAATTCCTTAAACCACTATTATCATTTTAATTAATTTATAAAGTGAGGAAATTATATGAAAGTAAAACAAAGATATTATAATATCACTGAAATCCAAAAAATATTAATTTAAATTCTCTTAAACCATATGTTGGTGTAAGTTAGAGGTGAGGTTAATATAACCTTTTAAAAAATTATTTATTTTTAGATCATATAAATATTGTTAAATAAAAGAAGTATAATTTAAAAATTAAATCATTTGTTATTCTAATTTTTTTTAATTTTGACATTGAGGTATATTTTAAAGATTGAAATAACGTTTAAAATAGTGATACAATTACAAATATTTACATCATAAATTATGTACACTAAATTAGAAAGTTGAGAAAGTCATGCCTGATACATTTTTCAATGTGACAAAGTATTCACTCTGCAGTTAATTTTGACATCAAAGGTTGTGACCCCAAAGAATCACATTCACACTTTGCTATTCTGCCACGTCATCGTTTGACTTGTTTAAGATTACGCAATGGGTCCCATGATGTTTGGAGATCCAAAATCAATTCTTCACCTTCGAAACATGTTATTAATCGTTATTAATTTAAATGGTCGATGGTTTCTTAACTAACTCGTGTTCGTGTAAGTGACCTTAAAATTAATTATTAGGCTTGTTATGTACACTATTTGTTGTTATAGGATTAGGTTTATAAGCTACCTTATTATGAAATTGGTATAATTCTTTTTTAAATTATCAACTTAAAAAAATATTTTTATTTATAAATTACTAATAAATTTTAATATTAATAATTAATTTTTATTCTATATATATATATATATATAAATCCTTATATTTGATTGTATTTATTATATATATATATATATATATATATATATATATATATATACAGGAAAATATTATAAATGAAGGGAGAAAATGAAAATGAAAAAAATATTAAAAATAATAATAATAAAAAGTTAATAATTTTCTAAGAAAGATATGGATTAAAAGAGAATGTTATAATATCATTACCATGATTCATGAGAGTATGATGACAAATGTGTTGGAGTGATGTTTCTGGACAACAAGCAAACTCAAAATTAAAGAAAAATAATATACTTTGCATTTATATATATATATATATATATATATATATATATATATATATATATATATATATATATTCGGTTAAAGATATAATGTTTTAGTTTTCTCTCTCCTTTTTATAATCAAATTTTCTTTTAGGTTTTCTTTTCTCTTTGTATCTATCGGTCCCAATAATATTTACGCATCGGGTCCATTAAGTATCAATCAAGTTCATCTCCCCCAAATGAGTTTATCTTGACTCACTTTACTCATTCAGTTGGACTCGAGCCCAACCAGACTCAATCTCTATGCACATACCACAACCCCCAAGTCTTAAATTAGAAAAATATTTCTAATGCAAAGACTAAAAACTGAAATAAACGTCGAATACACTTCATCCCTTAATATTTCATGATAAATTTGCAAAGTTCAACCACTTAAAAGGAATAAACAACCATTAAAAATTAGACTTACAGTGACCGTCGTCTTGATGTAGAGTGTGAAAATTACTTCTGCGAGTACTTGAATTTAGATGAAGATTAACCTGCTTTTACTCGTACTCCAATTTAGATCGCGTTTTGATCTGAGTTCGCATTTCGAACATAATTCGCATTTCGAACATAGTTCGCATTCCGAGCATAAGTCGTATTTCAACCATAGTGCGCATTTCGCACATAGTTCACATTCCGAATATAGGTCGCATTTCGACTATAGTGCGCATTTCGCACATATCTCGCATTCCGAGCATAGGTCGCATTTCGACCATAGTGCGTATTTCGCACATAGCTCGTATTCCGAGCATAGGTCGCATTTCGACCATAATGCGCATTTCGCACATAACTCACATTTCGACCATAGTGTGCATTTTGCACATAACTCGCATTCCGAATATAGGTCGCATTTCGACCATAGTGGGCATTTTACACATAACTCGTATTCCGAGCATAGATCGCATTTCGACCATAGTACGCATTTCGCACATATCTCGCCTTCCGAACATAGGTTGCATTTCGACTATAATGCGCATTTTACACGTAACTCATATTGTGAACATAAGTCGCATTTTGACCATACTATGCATTTCGAACATTGTGTATTTGTGATGCCCTGGTATGGTGTCTCATGTCCTCAAAGATGGTTCTGTTGCCCAAGAATTGAAGAGGGGGAAGACTGTATAATTGAAGACACCAGCTGATTCTGAAATTGTCCAGATGTGATCGATGAAGGAGACCAGCTACCATAAAACTCCTGTAATGCTTTTCCATCAATTTTATCATGTGATTTTTTTTGAGCTTTCAACTGATTATTTTGCCCAAAATCCTGTTGCTCCTTTTCAGCAGGGGTAATTCTGTCTATAGAATATCCTAGATTGAATGTGGTTCCGGTAGCGTTCTGAATGTCATGAGATGAAAAATCCTCAATCCTCTCTTAACTGTGGGGGAAAAATGATTGATCATTCGATTGAACATATTCTACTTCAATTCCCAAAGGTTCAGATCTGTTCCTTAAAGCATTTGCTTGGTTTGGTGTTTCCAAGTGTAAGGGTACTGAACTGTTACTCGTGTCTTTGGAAGACCACAACGCATCAGAATTCTCGAAACTTACATAGCCAAATATAGGGTCATCATTGCTGCAAAATCATCACTTGCGAGAATATTCGGTCAGATGTATACTATTGTAAACAACAAAAGCTCAAAAAACAGAGTATTACGACAGACATAGTTCCATAAATTAAGTGCTAATAAGGAACTTAGCACTTACGTTAATGTTATTCATCATGAGCACAATATAATTAATCCCAGGAATTGTAAAATACCTATGCTCAACACTAAAGTTGGCGGCATAAGGTCTAAGTTGTCAGTTTAATGAGTGACGAACAGGAGATTTTCATAATTTTAACATCATATATCATCCCTTTTTGCATTTCAGAAATGTTAGCAATACATGCTCTCTAATACATTCTAGCACTTATGTCGAGTAAAATTCATGTGGGACTTACTAAAATATGTGGGTCCCAGTGCCTATTTACTGGACCTTACTCCCAATTTACCATTGCTAGAATTCCTCCTTTCATTTTGAATGTTACCCATATGCATGTATTGCCGTTACAATTATGCATAGATGCACACATGGCTCCCTCTAAGTTTCACATAAACAAGTTTAGCCACATTTACACTCAGACTGATCCATGAGAATGCAGTTGTGTAATTTAATTTGCACCACAAGTTTCCCAAAAGAGAGTAAGAGGAAAGAGGGATGTTTTATCCGTTATAATTACTGATCAAGTTCAGACAACATCTAATTAGAATCACGTTAACAATTACCTCAGAAAATATATGTACCACATAGGAATAGTACAGATAGTATGCTTTACCTGAAAATTCGATCAAGGTCATCAAAGCTTCCTATGTTATCCCAGAAATAGTTGGCAAAATCATCTTGCTTTTCTACTTCCTTTTCTAGCTATGTAGTATCTTCTAAATTTTTAGATACTTCAGCACCCAGGAAATCCTGATCAATTTTAGCTGCACTGGATAAAGACAAGTCAGGCCATGAGTTTGTGCCAGATTCTGAGGCAGATTGTCCCTCAATAGTATCAAATTTGGAACTGCTTCCTAGCGTTCCTTGATGAATGTCAGTTTTAATCTGTCCTCTTCTGCTCAATCAGTTTACTGGCACAAGCTTCCTGATTCCATTTTTTCATGTCATTAAGATCTTCACTTACCTCCGGATATGGTACAATATGATCGTCACTCTCATCCGCCTCACCCCATATTATGTTAGCAAGCTGAAAACAATCCATTATAAAAAATATAATAAATATAAACGAGGCAAAGCTCAACAAGAAAAATAAAATACGTAAAGATGCTAGCACTAAAGAAATTCAAAGACAAAAAAAAAAGGCAACAATATAAAAGTGTTTTCTGTCATTTCACATTTTGTGGATCCCATGCCCATTGCAACATGGTAGTTTATAGCAGCCATGATTGACATGGACCCTCCTTCAATGCTTTAAAATTTGCTTTTAAAAGAATTTTTTATATGTTTGACTCCAGAGTTTCTTCTCCCACTATCTCTTGAGACAATTGCCACTCATTCTCACCTTAGCAGCCATGATTGACATGGACCCTCCTTCAATGCTTTAAAATTTGCTTTTAAAAGAATTTTTTATATGTTTGACTCCAGAGTTTTCTTCTCCCACCATCTCTTGAGACAATTGCCACTCATTCTCACCTTCACCACCAACCAGTGATTCTAGCTATAGCAAAACCTTTTTTTAATCTCTTCTATTTTTTTCTCAAATCTTCTTCATCCGTTCCTTTTTTCAATTTCCTTGGTTTCCAGAACTCCAATTTTCCTCTCCAAATCCCTAACCCTAACCTCAACCTCACTCTCTGCCCTTCACCTTCTTCAATGTTTCCAATTCCTTCTCCAGAGAGTCACGCCTAGACTCCTTCTCTCCTAAAACCTTCCTCAATTCAGTAGCATCCGCCCTAGCGTCCTCCGCCGCACTCATCTCCGATATCATATCATGCTGTAGCCCCGCCACCTCCGTCTCCAGGTCCGCCGCCCTCGCCACGATTACCTCCACCGCCTTCGCCGCCTCGCGAGACTACACCACCTCTCGCTGCATTTCTTCGATCTTCTCGTTAGTCACCACGTTGTCGCTCCTCAATCCGTCGAGCTCCGTCGTCAGCTTCTTGATCTCCTCCTTCCTCGCGGCGTTCTCACTCATCAATTCTTCGCGCTCGCGTTGCAACACGGCGACCTTCGTCACCGATTCTTCACCTACTGATCATCGACGCCGCTGTTGGCAACACCGTCATCCGCCATGGCTGATTGGAGCGAGAGAAGGCGTAAAGAGATGTAACGAGTTTATCTTCACCCACTTTACTTATTCAATTCCATTGGACCATTCAATTGGACCAGAACACAACTATACTCAATCTCTATACATATTGAACCGCATATAAAAGCGGAAAAGGAAAGAAGAATACAAAATTATTATTAGAAAAGCTTACAATATTCGAAAGTATTCGAGGATAAGGGGAGGTAAGGGAAGACTGCAACTTAGGTTACGAGCGAATTGGATGGGAAGATAGTAATAACTGATTCTTTTATAGGTATAAAAGTTCTCTTATTCAAGATTATAACTAGCTAATTATAATTAAAAAGTGAACATAATTATAATTTACACGCTTTTATTTTTGGTGAGGGACGGTAAAAATAAAATAGAATAATTATAAGTGTTTTAGTTTTCAATTGTGTGGGTTCCAAAATTTTGTGTGAAGAACCAGCAAATTCCATTATGAGGTGTGGGATCATAACATTTCATTATGAGGTGTGGGATCATAACATTTGTTGGGCGATGGACCAACTAAACCCAACTTCTTACTAAGATGTTATCTCTTAGAAGAGGAACTCTTAAAGGTCTTCTTCTTCTAATTTTATCATAATTTGATGAACTTTTCTTTGTAACTCTTCTTTGGTTGATTTTTTTTTCATGATGTTATTAATCGTCTTCTTTAATTCTTCTGGAATTGATTGCTAAAATTGATCAAAATCAATGTTTTCTTCATCTTCATAAGGATCCTGAGCATCTTGTAGGTTGATAATGGCTTCTGTTTCTTCTTCTTCTTCATCTGAGCCCAATGAAGATAATGTTTCAATCATTTTCTATTTTAATTAGGTCTTTGCTGCTTTTGATGAGGGGAGTTTAGATAAGTCTATAATAGTTTTCCTTTTTCTTTTAGGGATGACATTTCTCTTTGGATTAGGCTTTTTTGGGTGATAAGGCCCATTTTCTTCCAATTTTCAAATTTTTCTTCTACATATTGGGTTTCGAATTTTTTCCACCAAAAAACTTTAGTTTTTAAGTAAAGAGTTTTCGGATAGGTTTCTTCTTTGTGTTGATGAATTTCGAGAATGTGGGCCAAAAGTCAGCTTATTCCCATAGTTGAACAAAATTTTATAATTCGGAGATGTGGAGGGTATTGGGGAGTAAGACTTTTGTATTTTTGGTACATTTTCATGATTTTCTCTGGAATTATGGATTAGACAAGGCATATTTGGTGAAACCAATCGACAAACCATTTTGGTAAGGTGTTTGGTACTTCTTTCTTAAAACATATATACCATGAATACCTAGGGTTGATATCAAATAGTATTTTATTCCAGACTTCTTGGTAACCGAAATAATTATAAGGGGGTCAAAGGGCCTCGAAAAGCTCTTATCTGTAAAAGGGTGTTGGTTTCATTCTTGGTATGAAATTATTTTAATAATACGTAATTTTGAATAACTAATAATAGAGGGATCTCTATCATTAGGAATGAGGGTTATTTCTGCAGATCCTGTATCTATTAGGATAAATTGGTAAAAAAATTTAGTCTTTTTAAAATTTTCTGACTTAGGGATCCAACTCCATCCTGGAGGAGCTAATTTTCTGAGTATTCCGTAAACATCTTCGGGATTCCAATCTTCTTCTAAAATGATGATCTTTTGACATCCTTCTTTGATACGGAATTCTTTTTTAAGGGTTTTTTCAAGGGGAGGATGTTGAGGGATTTGCGGTGTTAAGGGAGTGAATCTATTAGGTTGAGTGGTTATTGAGGTGGGAAGTTTTCTAGTGGTCATGGTTTTCGAATATGATGGGGCAAAATCGTCTAATGATAAGGTAGAGGACTTTTGGCCTTTTTCTGTTTTACCTTTTTCAGGCGTAGCTGGGGTTTTAGAGGGGGTTGTCATGGGTATGACCCTGCAAAAATTCTCTAGTTAGAAAATCAGGTATCGAATTTTCTTTTCCTTTAATAAATTCTATTTCAAATTCAAAACAGGATAATAGACTTTGCCATCTTACAAATATTTACTTGGAAATTATATTTTTTTAATGTCCTTTTCCAAAACTTGTTTTGCAGATTTACAATCAATTCTTAATAAAAAAATATTTAAAACTATACTTAAAACTTCTTTTTTTAATCATGCTATAATTTTTTTGAGTCTCATTCCATATTCCTGAGTGATATCTTACTATTTGTTCGGGGTTATCTTTTAACTTTTGTTTTAGTATACCCTCTTATCCTATATCAGAAACATCTGTTTCTATAATTATTTTTGCTTCTAGGTTTGGTATTCCTAGACATGGCAAGGACTTGACTAATTTTTTAACCTCTATTACTAATTTAGTCATTTCGGGAGTCCATGGTTTGAGATTTTTCCTTAATCTAGTAAAGAGGGGTTTACATAATATTTGAATATTAGGTATAAATTCGATACATAGTTTAAACAACTTAGGAATCTTTGTAGTTGTAGTTTATCTTTTATTTCATTAGGAAATTTTTCTGAAAATTCAATACTTCTTTTAATGGGGATTATAGTTCCTCGATTTATTTCATGGCCTAAATATCTAATTTGTGTTTGGGCTAGTTTTATTTTCTTTTGTGATGTTATCATTCCATTTGTTTTTATAACATTTTTTAATATTCTTAAATATTTTTTATGTTGGTTTATTGATTCGAGAAAATATTAAGACATCATCAATATAGACAATGAGAAATTTTGAGTAAGGGTTTAATATGTCATTCATTATTTTTTGAAATTCGAAGGCACATTTTTCAAACCCATAAGCATTACGTTCCATTCATATTGCCCGAAAGGCACTATAAAGGAAATTTTGTATTTGTCTTGTTCTTTTAATTTAATCTGATAGTATCCACTTTTCATGTCAAACTTATAAAATATAGTGGCATTATAAATTCTACTTATTAGTTCAGTTTTATTAGGCAGAGGATATCTAATCCATTTTAAGACCTTATTTAAAGGTTTATAATTTATTACCTTTCTTGGTTCTCCTCTTTCTATTTCTGAGGCATTTTGTACATAAAAAGCAACACAATTTCATGGAGATTTGCTAGGTCTAATAAGTTTGTTGTCTAAAAAAGATTTTATTTCTTTTCTACAATATTCTAGTGTTTCTTTATTTAATTGTACCAGTTTAGCTTTGGTAGGAATATTCTTTTCCGAAAATCCTTCTTCGTATGGTAATTTAATTTCAAAAGTGTTTCTATTCCAAAAAGCTGTGGGGACTTCTTCACATACTTCTTTTATGATTTCTTGTTCTATTCTTTTAAAGGTTGTTATTATTTTAGGATGTTTTAATTGTTCTTCGATTCTTTTGTATGTTATTTCTTGTTTTAAATATTTTATATGTGTAGTTTTGGCTTCCATTTTTAATAGAAAGTTTTCCTCATTTACTTCAGTAACTATTTGTATTTCCTTATTTTTGATTGGTTTAATGAATTCAAATAAAATATTTTTATGTCTTATTCCATTTTCGGATACTTCAAAAGGGTATATTAATGCTAGAAATGGTGTTCCTATGATCATTTCTTCATTAATATCAGGGGTTAGTATAAAAGTATTTTTAAAACATGTTCTTTTATTACATATACTTGGTGTTTGACAATTTATATTTTACCTTTAATTTTTCAGAATTCGCGGTTCTTAAGGTTTGTAAAATCAAATTGTAGGAATATATTTGGTCTTACTTGTCCCTAATCTTCAGAGTGAAAATTTAATGTTGGATGTTGAATTTGATTCATTGAGGAATCATGTTGAAAAATCAACATTTTAGATCTTAGTATTGAGGAATCATACTGAGTGAATTAAGGAGAATGAAATTGGACTAACAGAATCATGATGATTAAGAAAATGGTAGAATAGAAAATGCATCATATTTAATCACTCATTACAGTTAAATTTCTTTAATTGTTCTAATTTTATGTTTATGTGTGGTTACAATAGATTTCAAAATCTGTACATGGTTAAGTATGAAGATTCATTTAAATTAGATTCATTAATTCACAAATCCCTGTGGACGACTTTATAAATATTACATTCAAACTTGGTACACTGCCAAGTAAAATTGTGAGTAAGAAAAATTTCACCAGCTGACTATGCAAATTTTGAATATCATTTATGTTAGGAGTATCGTTGATATTTCTTTTTTCTCCTATCATTTTGAAGGGTGATCCAATTACTTCTTTATTTTCAATATTAGGAAATCTTACTTTTTCTAAAGGAGGGATTTTACTGATTATTTCTTTATTTTTTGTTTTTCATATTTTTTCAACATTTTGTAGTACATTAATTTGTAAATTTTCTAAACAGTTTTCTGCAAACCATCTAAAATACGGTATGTTTTCTTGAATTAAGTTTAAATGCTTATAATAATTTTCGCGATATTCTTTTAATTCATTTTGAGTAAAAGTCTTAAAAACCATTCTCTTTTTTCTTGATTCTTTTCTTCTAAAAATTCTTGTCTTAAAAGGTCTTTGTTTATTTCGAATTTGGTTATTACATTTATTATGCTATCATCTTGAAGTATTTTGGAAGCAAAAGGTGACGAAGGTGATCTGGACTGACCTATTATGCTTCAAGCAACCCAATCGGGAAGACTTAACTATCCAGTTTTACAGCCAATATACCTTTAAACAGTTTTTCTGATGTGGAGGATCGGCCTAAACCGCAACCACAGTGCATACTTATTCAAACAAACAGATGATTTAGTGTCAGGTTCTGATGTGGTTGCGGTTTGAAGAAACTGTTTAGGCCGATCCTCCACAATCTAGATCACCTTTGTCAGGTTCGAATCCTGATGATTTAGTGTGAAAAAACAAAGTCACGTACTTTGTTTATATAACTATTTATTCTCTTTGAATTCATATTTTCTGAAAAGT